GTGTGACCAAGTCCCAGGTCTGATCTGATTTTCTGCCTCATTTTCACACAATTGCAGGGTCTCTTACTATTGACAACACAACATATATATATATATATATATATATATATATATATATATATATATATATATATATATATATATATATATATATATATATATATATATTATCAGAAAACAGTGACCAACTATATTTTTAGGATTGCTTCATTATTTAAAATTATTTATTTTTTAATTATTTATTATTATAAAAAATATATATTTATTTTTAAAGACGCCCTCTTTAAATTTATTAAAATGAACTTAAAGTCTGAAAATATAAAAAATGGGGTTTTGTCCCACTTTGCACTTTACTTGGGGGAGTTTTGTCCAAGGGGGTTTTGTCCTGCACTCACATACATACATCCCCCTACATATACAAGGTGTTCCGTAAATACCTTTCATAAATCAGGGGTGTATTCCTGAGACATAACTAAATATAAAGGACTAAATGACTAAATTGTCAATAGTTTCAGAGTTAACGGCACATGACAGGTTTGGTGATGGGGTGTATATGAAACACCCAATACACTCTGCTAGTGACGTTTATTAACATTAATAATGCCATATGATTTGTATTGGTATTAACATTTAGAGGAAATGTTCAAGTTCCGCCCCTGTTGCTCAATGCAGGCCTCAGCCCGTGGCACTAGTGAGTGTCCCACACGTTCACAGACCCCAGGGTGTTGCGGATGGTTGTCACACTGGTCACGGCGCCACAATTCCTCACGGTTTGGGACCTCTGTAACAAACACTTTAAAACTTTTCATGTGACCCCACAGGTAGAAATAAAGGGGAATTATGCCAGGTGACCGTATACATATTATTTTTTTACTTTTATCCTCTCGCCACTGATCGGCTTGTTAGCCGCTTGGGCGATCGGTCACGACTCTTTTCCTTTATATTCTTCACCAAAAGGTCGGCTCGCTAGCCGCCCGGGCGATCGGTCACGTCTCTGTCACGCACTGTTGGCAAATACTGGGCATGCACCGGCTCCTGAATGTACCTGAACCCGCTCCAGTGTTGGTCAAGTCTTCTCTTGAAAGAGCTCACACTCGGTGCCGTCACAACACTTTCTGGTAGATTGTTCCAAGAGTTTACAACCCTCACTCCGAAAAAGTTTGCCCTCACGGTTTTCCGGACTTGCGGCTTCTTCAATCTTGAGCTGTGACCCCTTGTGGGGCGAGCGTCCGCCAGCTCCAAGTAAGGACACTCAACTGAGTAGTGCCCCCTGAGATGCTTATAAACCTCAACTAGGTCCCCCCTTGCCCGTCTGTAGTATAAGCTAGGCAAGTTCAGGCGCTCCAATCTCGCAGGGTAGCTGAGATGCCGAAGTGCAGGCACCAGCTTGGTGGCCCTCCTTTGAACATTTTCAACCAACTGACAGTCCCTAGCATATCTCGGGGACCAGATGGGGTGACAGTACTCCAGATGGGGAAGCACTTCACTCCTGAAGATCGTCACGAGGGACGGACCGTCTAGATATCTGAACGACCTTCTTATAAGACCCAATAATTTATTTGCCTGATTTACCTTCTTCTCACAATGGCCTGAGAACTTCAGCTCATTGTCAACATACACACCTAGGTCCTTCTCACACACAGTCTCAACTAGTACATTTTCTTCATCCCGTTGGGACATATGGTACGCCTCCTTACCGTTGGTACGCCCCAGGTGCATCCTCTTACACTTCGTGACATTGAATCTCAGCAGCCATTCCTTCGACCATTCCTGGAGCCCACAGAGGTCCTTCTGCAGCTCTTCACAGTCCGCTTGGTTCTTAATTTCCCGAAATAACTTGGCGTCATCGGCAAACATTTGTATGGAGGAGTGTACAACGTCAGGCATATCATTTATGAAACAAACAAACAACAGCGGGCCCAATACACTACCCTGCGGTACCCCACTTGTTACAGGTACAGATGACGATTTCGTGCCATTAATCACCACACATTGCTTGCGGTCATGTAGAAAGTCTTCTATCCACGCTAGGACATTTCCCCGAATTCCGTACATACATACATACATACATACATACATACACACACACACACACACATACACACACAGAAGTAATAACCATCAGGTGGTAAATCTTCATCATTGGTTCATAAAACGTTACAACTTCCTGATTAATCTAATTTTTACTTCCACCCCGTTAATTAATTGCTCGCTCACCATGACGTCACTAGAGCCGCGCGTGTGTGTGTGTTAGAGAGAGAGAGAGTGTCGTAAACCTGGTGTGGCAGTGAGAAAGAAAATGGGAAATATTGGTGAGAGAAAATGGAGAAGAATGGCGGGAGGGAGAATGGGGAATTGCGATTGGTAGGTGAGATAATCAGGGCCACATAATGATTGGTGGAGAGAAAAATGGAGAATTGTGATTGGTGGGACGATAAGACATAATTAATGATTGGTGGAGCGAATGAGGGAATATATGATAATGATTAAAAGGAGGAATAAAGGTAGATAGAAGGAGAATGGAGAGAGAGAGAGAGAGAGAGAGAGAGAGAGAGAGAGAGAGAGAGATGATGATGATGAAGGAAGAAGCAAAATGTGAAGAATAAACAAGAAAGTGAATGATAAATGGTGAATAAGGAAAAGAGCAAGGATGGAGGGGAAGGAGAGAGTGAGGGAACATGGCAGAGGCGAGAGAGTGAGTGTACAGTGTCTAAGTGGATACAGTACTCGCTTCAAGACCTAAGTGTCCCAGGTTAGAGCTCGAGGCACCTGACGTTACAGTTGAGGAAATGAAGGTGGTCCAGGTGCGGTGCCGGTCACGTTTATGCCTTTATGTGTACCGGAAGAGGACTCAAGCACGTCAAGCACAGAGGAGGTGAAGCCCTAGCAACACACACACACACACACACACACAGGACACACACACACACACAGGACACACACACACACCTCAGGTTATCCTTAGTCAGCCAAGGGGGGCAAGGGGGGACCTAGTTGAGGTGTATAAGCATCTCAGGGGGCACTACTCAGTTGAGTGTCCTTACTTGGAGCTGGCGGACGCTCGCCCCACAAGGGGTCACAGCTCAAGATTGAAGAAGCCGCAAGTCCAGAAAACTGTGAGGGCAAACCTTTTCGGAGTGAGGGTTGTAAACTCTTGGAACAATCTACCAGAGAGTGTTGTGACGGCACCGAGTGTGAGCTCTTTCAAGACAAGACTTGACCAACACTGGAGCAGGTTCAGGTACATTCAGGAGCCGGTGCATGCCCAGTATTTGTCAACAGTGCGTGACAGAGACGTGACCGATCGCCCGGGCGGCGAGCGAGCCGATCAGTGGCGAAGAGGAGACAAAAAAATACAAAATCTATCTATCGTGGGCAGTAGCTAGACCTCAGGCTGGGTCAAAATCTTAAGACCTCCCGAAGGATAACAGAAAACGTGACACAAGAAAGGAAGCCTCAGGGGTAACTAACCTAAACTAATTCTGCCTACCACTATATATACTCCCTAAGCCTGAGGTCAATAAATAATTAAGGTAATCAATAAATAAAACGTTTGGTGGAGAAAACGTGATCTTTCCTCTCAGGGGGGTGACTAACTTAAGTTGTATGGGATGAATTCGTATGGTCAGCAGATAGATAGATAGATAGATAAATAGATAGATGGATAGATAGACATCCGCAAGGTCTTGAAAAACACTTAACTCTCCCTCCCTACCTCCTGGTCTTTTTATCCCCTCCCCCCTCCTCCCTCCCTCTCTTTTCTCTCACTTGGGAATAACTAAGATCAAAACTACCACAATAATAAAAACATCTTTCTATTTATCTATCCCTCAATGTCCATATATAACCAATAAACACCTAAATGTCCCCTTAAAACAACGAAACATTCTCTACTTCAGCATAAAAGAAAACGTGGCAGTATAGTGGTCGCGAGGGGAGACTAATGTAAACAGATGGACGTCCGGGGTTCTGTGGGTGTGTCTTTGAGAGATTAAATATACGGTGTGTGTGTGTGTCTGTCTGTCTGTCTGTCTGTCTGTGTCTGTCTGTCTGGCCACGTCAACACGAAACGTGGGTCATGCAGGGGAGGGGGCATGGGCCGAGATATGGGCAAGTCATGGATGGGTGTGGGCGGATAATGGGTGGTTGCGAGTTTCAAGGGTGGGTGTGGGCGAATCATGGGTGGTTGTGGAGGTCATGGGTGGGTATGGGCAGGTCATGGGCGGGTGTGGGCAGGTTATGGGCGGGTGTGGGCAGGTTAATTCGCGGGTGTGTTCAGGTTAATGGGCCGGTGTTTGCAGGTCATGGGCGGGTGTGGGCAGGTCATGGGTGGATGTGGGCAGGTCGTGGGCGGCCACCTGGTCATGTTAATTAGTGTGGGAAGCGTCATAAAGATAAGGTAATTAATATTGATGAGTTAAAGGGAAGCTCACACACACACACACACACACACACACACACACACACACACACACACAAACATTCTCACCTCATTCAACATCCTTCGTATTTTACCTCAACATGCCACCAACCAATCCCAAGACACTTTATTTCCCTAAGTAGAGATGTAAGGTCGCTTCTGATTGGTTGACTTGAGCTATGACTCCAAGATGGCGCTTAGATGGCGAGGTGAGTGTGGACTTGTGATTCGATTCCTTGTGTCGATGCAGTGAGAGATGAGGGGGGGTAGGTGGGGAGAGAGGAAGGGGTTAGGGGGAGGGAAGGGGTGAGGGGAAAAGAATGGGTGAGGGCAGAGGAAGGAGCTCATGCTTCACTAATGGAAGTTGGCAACCCCCGGAGCCATATTGATCTATGAGCGTGGTAAGTGTGTGTGTGTGTTTGTGTCTCATCACACACACACACACACACACACACACACGAAACGGAGAATCGTCATAGAATCGTCATATAATAATAATAATAATAATAATAATAATAATAATAATAATAATAATAATAATAATAATAACAATAATAATAATTCATCTTGTGTTCTACAGGATTGTCTCGTCGCCTACAAGTGGGTGCTGCTCCTGCCGTCCTTAACTCTAGGACGTCTACAGGACTCCCTCTACAGGAACCCTTCTTCAGCACAGCCTCTACACGAGTTACAGGTGTCATGAAGGCCTCGTGAACCATTAAGGCGTAATAGTGAATTAGATGCTAGTGGCGTTGTGTTGGAGCACCAGTGGAAGCCTGAAGGTGTAGTGACGCCTCTGGTGGTGGTAGAGAAGGATGAAGGTGCCGGAGACAGGCTTAGAAAAGGTACATAGTGAACGAATCTCCACTATGGGGGCAAGAAAGTGCTACTGAATCTTACTAACCAGTCGAGGAAATATCTCCCTAGTGTGTGTGTGTGTTTTAAGGAACATTGTGTGGGGGGGGAGGGGGTGTTACTTGTGTTCCTTGGAAGATGTGATACGGAACAACCAGGAGCCATGATGATGCAAGTAACGTTATCTCTCTTGTTGTTGAGATGAACTTGAAACACACGTGAGGATGACTTGACCTGACCTGACCTACCACCTGACCCCTTACACAACACCACTTGACCTCTGTGTACTGGTGTCATTAACAAGTGTAATAAAGTGTTAACAAAAGTATACGGAACATGACCTAGCAGTGAAAATAAAAGAAAAAACAACCCCCCCCCCTCAAAAAAAAAACCATAAGAGGAGGCGGCGAACACAGAACCTAACCTAACCATGAGCCGAACACTCCCCCCGAGGTGCACTTAACATGAGGTAGCGACAGGACCTAAACACTCACTCACTCAGACGACTCTCGCCCCTGTGTGGAGGAGGAATAAGGCCGGCGATAACGATGACTGGGCCCCCGCCATGGGATGTGGACGAAGTACACTTGGTAGTGATAGTCCAAAGAAGAACAAGAAAAACGGTGAGTCTTTCTCTCTCTCTCTCTCTCTCTCTCTCTCACATAGTGTATAAACGTCTTCTTGTCATCTATTGCTCTTTAACACCTGTCAGATAATTAATTACAGGTGTGCATTGTCTTATTGGTAAACACACACACACACACACACAGGTCAGCTGCCACAAACTGAAGATTTGATCTGGTGAAAATTTAGATATTAACCTTGACACCGTACTGGAAGACAGGTGGTACTGGGAGACAGGTGGTACTGGGAGGAGACAGGTGGTACTGGGAGGAGACAGGTGGTACTGGGAGGAGACAGGTGGTACTGGGAGGAGACAGGTGGTACTGGGAGGAGACAGGTGGTACTGGGAGGAGACAGGTGGGAGGAGACATACTGGAGGAGACAGGTACTGGGAGACAGGTGGCTGGGAGGAGACAGGTGGTACTGGGAGGAGACAGGTGGTGCTGGGAGACAGGTGGTACTGGAGACAGATGGTACTGGGAGGAGACAGGTGGTGCTGGGAGACAGGTGGTACTGGGAGACAGATGGTACTGGGAGGAGACAGGTGGTACTGGGAGACAGATGGTACTGGGAGGAGACAGGTGGTGCTGGGAGGAGACAGGTGGTACTGGGAGGAGACAGGTGGTACTGGGAGACAGGTGGTAGGGAGGACAGGTGGTAAGAGACATGTGGTACTGGAGGAGACAGGTGGTACTGGAGACAGGTGATACTGGGAGGAGACATGGTACTGGGAGACATGTGGTACTGAAGGAGACAGGTGGTACTGGGAGACAGGTGATACTGGGAGGAGAGGGTACTGGGGACATGTGGTACTGGAGGAGACAGGTGGTACTGAGAGACATGTGGTACTGGGAGGAGACAGGTGGTACTGGGAGACAGGTGATACTGGGAGGAGACATGTGGTACTGGGAGACATGGTACTGGAAGGAGACAGGTGGTACTGGGAGACAGGTGATACTGGGAGGAGAAGGTGGTACTGGGGGACATGTACTGGAAGGAGACAGGGTACTGGGAGGAGACAGATGGTACCGAGGAGGTGGACTGGGAGGAGACAGATGGTACTGAGCAGGTGGAATGGAGGCAACAGATACTGGTAGAGACTGATGGTACCGGGAAGGAACAGGTACTGGGAGAATACTGATGGTACCGGGAGGCAACATGTGGTACTGGGAGAGGTACTGGTGCTGGAGAACTGGTGGTAACTGGGCAGAAATAGCCAGCTGTGAATAATGTACCGTCAGTGAGACACGGACAGCGGCTGGTCATGGATATTGTACCTGGGAGTGGCTGCCTTGTCCAGCTGGTACAAAGGTGGTACAATTGCTGTGGTACAGATGGTATAATTTGGGGAAGGTGGTTAAACGGTGGTACAACGGTATTACAGGTGGTACAACGGTATTACAGGTGGTACACGATATTACAGGTACAACGGTATTACAGGTGGTACAACGGTGGTGCAGTTGGAATAATTTTAGGCAGATGGAACAACGCAAGCTATAGACACACCTGTACCTGTAGTTACACCTATACCTGTAGCCACACCTGTACCTGTAGCCACACCTATATCTGTAGCCACACCTGTACCTGTAGCCACACCTATATCTGTAACCACACCTGTACCTATAGACACACCTGTAACTGTAGTTACACCCATACCAGCCACACCTGTACCCAGCCACACCTGTACCTGTAGCCACACCTGTACCTGTAGCCACACCTGTACCTGTAGCCACATCTGTACCCAGCCACACCTGTACCTGTAGCCACACCTGTACCTCCAGCCACACCTGTACCTATAGCCACACCCCACCTGTAGCCACACCTGTACCTGTAGCCACACCTGTACCTATAGCCACACCTGTACCCAGCACACACCTGTACCTAGCCACACCTGTACCTGTAGCCACACCTGTACCTGTAGCCACACCTGTACCTGTAGACACACCTGTACCTGTAGCCACACCTGGTACCTGTAGCCACACCTGTACCTGTAGCCACACCTGTACCATAGCCACACACCGAACACATCTGTACAGCCACACCTGTACCTATAGCCACACCTGTACCTGTAGCGACACTTGTACCTGTACACACCTGTCCTATAGCCACACCCACCTGTACCTGTACCTGTAGCCACATCTGTACCCAGCCACACCTGTACCTGTAGCCACACCTTACCTGTAGTTACACCTATACCTGTACCACTGTACCTGTAGCCACACCTGTACCTGCACACACCTGTACCTGTAGCCACACCTGTACCTGTAGCCACACCACCTGTAGCCACCTGTACCAGCCACACCTGTACCTGTAGCCACACACCCACCTGTAGCACACCTGTACTATAGCCACACCACCTGTAGCCACACCCATCTGTAGCCACACCTGTACCTGTAGCCACACCGCACCTTAGCACACCCACCTGTAGCCACACCTGTACCCAGCCACACCTGTACCTGTAGCCACACCTGTACCAGCCACACCTGTACCTGCAGCCACACCTGTACAGTACCTGTAGCCACACCTGTACCTGTAGCCACACCTGTACCTGTAGCCACACCTGCACTATAGCCACACCTGCACCTGTAGCCACACCTGTACCTGTAGCCACACCTGTACCTGTAGCCACACCTGTACCTGTAGCCACACCTGTACCTGTAGCCACACCTGTACCTATAGCCACACCTGTATTTGACTCTTTACCAAAATAAAATGGAAATTACAGGAGTGCTTATAAACAGGAGAGGTGTGTGTGTGTGTGTGTGTGTGTGTGTGTGTGTGTGTGTGTGTGTGTGTGTGTGTGTGTGTGTGTGTGTTGTGTGTGTGTGTGTGTGTGTGTGTGTGTGTGTGTGTGTAAATACAGTACACAAATTTATTTACATAGCCAAAAATAGGTAGTGAAATATGATGTTTGTAACAGATTCTCTCTCTCTCTCTGTTAGGTGGGGTGAGAGATAGAGATAATGACACAGTGGTAGGAAGAGAGAGAGAGAGAGAGAGAGAGAGAGAGAGAGAGAGAGAGAGAGGAGAGAGAAACAGGAAGAACGCTAGTAGCATGTAAATAAACAGAGGGTTAAAGAGAGATGGCTGAAAGGGGAAATGGAGCCAAGAGAGAGAGGAGGGAGTGGAGGAGTGAAAGAGAGAGGGAGGGAGGAGTGAGAGAGAGAGTGGGGATGTGGGGAGAGTGAGAGAGAGAGAGGGGAGGTAGGAGTGAGAGAGAGAGGGAGGGAGGAGTGAGAGAGAGAGAGGGGATGTGGAGGGGAGGAGAGAGAGGAGGGGGTGGAGGAGGAGAGAGAGAGGAGAGGGGAGGAGGAGGAGAGAGAGATGGAGTGGAGTGAGAGAGACGGCAGAAAAGCCTCCTCCTCACCTCCTCCTCCCCCTTCCATCTCCTCCCTCCTCACATCCCCTTCTCCCTTCCATCTCACCTCCCTCTCACCTTCCCCCAACCTCCTGTCCTCCCTCCTCACCTCCTCCTCCCTTCCATCTTCCCTCCTCCCTCTCACCTCCCTCCTCCCTCTCACCTCCCCCCCTCTCACCCCCTCCCTCCACCCCCCTCCCCCTCTCACCCCCTCCCAGATTCAATAAGGAGGTTGAGCCATGAAGTTGTCCTGCTGTACCACCACCACAGCTGTCCACCCACCACCATCACCAGCACTACCACCCCACCACCATCACCACCACCACCCCACCACCATCACCACCACTACCACCCTACCACCACCACCACCACCACACCACCACCACCACCACCACCCACCACCATCACCACCACCACCACCCCACCACCACCACCACCACCACCACAGCTGTCCACCTACCACCATCACCACCACCACCACCACCACCACAGCTGTCCACCCACCACCATCACCAGCACTACCACCTCTACCACATCACCACCACCCTCTACCACCATCACCACCACTACCACCCCACCACCATCACCACCACCACCACCACCACCATCACCACCACCACCACCCACACCATCACCACCACCACCACCCACCACCACCACCACCACCACAGCTGTCCACCTACCACCATCACCACACCACCACCACCACCACCACCACCACCCACCACCACAGCTGTCCACCCACCACCATCACCACCACCACCACCACCACCACCACCACCACAGCTGTCCACCCACCACCATCACCACCACCACCACCACCACCACACCACCACCACCACAGCTGTCCACCACCACCCACCACCACCACCCCACACCACCACCACCCCCACCACCACATCACCACCACCACCACCACCACCCCACCACCATCACCACCACCACCACCTCTACCACCATCACCACCACCACCACACCTCTACCACTATCACCACCACCACACCACCACCACCTCTACCACCATCACACCACCACCACCCTACCACTATCACCACCACCACCTCTACCACTATCACCACCACCACTTCTACCACTATAACCACCACCACTCCTACCACTATCACCACCACCACTCCACCACCATCACCACCACTACCACCACCCCACCACTATCACCACCACTACCACCACCTCTACCACCATCACCGCCACTACCACCATCCCACCACCATCACCACCACCACCACCACTTACCCACACTCATCACCACCACTACCACCACCTACCACCATCACCGCCACTACCACCACCTCCACCACTATCACCACCACACTACCACCCTCTACCACCATCACCACCACACCACCAACACCCCCACCACCATCACCGCCACCACCACCACCCTCACCACCATCACCACCACCACCACCCACCCCACCACCATCACCACCACCACCCCACCACCATCACCACCACCACCACCACCCCACCACCATCACCACCCACTACCACACCCACCACCATCACCCCACCACTACCACCACCACCACTCACCCACCATCACCACCACCACCACCAACCTCTACCCACCATCACCACCACCACCACCCTACCACCATCACCACCACCACCACCACCCCACCACTCATCACCACCACTACCACCACCTCCACCACCATCACCACACCACCACCACCACCCACACCACACCACCACCACACCACCCACTACCACTCATCACCACCACCACCACCACCTCCCCATCACTATCACCACCACCACCCTATCACCACTATCACCACCACCACCACCACCACTATCACCACCACCACCACCAACCTCTACCACTACCACCACCACTACCACCACTACTACCATCACCACCACCACCACCACCATCACTCCATCGACTTTCCATAACCACCTCAAAGTGGCTAGAGAGAGAGAGAGAGAGAGAGAGAGAGAGAGAGAGAGAGAGAGAGAGAGAGAGAGAGAGAGAGAGAGAGAGAGAGAGAGCTCTTATCCTTCGTTCTTCTTCTACCACCTCTCACACACCCTTGCTACCTGCCTCTCACCTCCTCCCTCACCCCCCCCCACACACGAGACTCACACACCTCCCTCATCTCTCACTCCTCCTCCCTCACCCCCCACACACGAGACTCCCACACACCTCCCTCATCTCTCACTCCTCCTCCCTCACCCCCCCACACACGAGACTCCAAGTACGACTCCTACACACCTCCCCATCTCTCCCCTCCTCTCACACACTCAACACTCCAACATGGGTTTTATCTGCAGGTGGAGATGATGTTGAAGTTGTTGTTTACCTGAGGTTATCACTGTAATGACCCGCCCAGGTGTCTCTCTCTCACGCAGTAGTGTATAATTATAATCACAGCATCTTGCCACGAGTGATCTATATCTGCGCATCCCGATCTTCTTTTATTCTCGGCTACGTCAACGTTGGGCCCTAACCTGTGACGTCACGAATGTAAATATCGCCTCTTTCTCGCGTTTTTTGATGTGGGTGTAGGTAGACGAGCCCCGGGCGGCCCTGGGTGTATTACTGCCTCGTACACCTTCTGTGTGTCGTGGATAAACACCTGATATTGACACATACACACACATACACACAAACACACACACACACACACACACACGTAATATGGTTAAAGAACACATTTCATTACGGTAGAGTTTTAGGTCAGTTTCTACGCCATATTGTGTTTAGTGTGTTAGTTTAATCTGTCTGTTATTATTATTATTATTATTGTCGTCGGGACTAGAGTAGAAGACAGGGGTAATACAGCCAGAGATATACGAAGGTAATTGTTGGTGGTGTGGCTGTACTCCAGGAGCCAAACTCTTGTATTGCCTCGCCGCTTACTGTGTTGTGATTCTCTCTTATATATGTAGTGTAGTGTACTATGTTCTCTACTGTACTAACACCTAAGTCATCTTCCTGCTCACGACACTAACGGAGATGTTTCCTGCCACTCACAGAGGCTGACTCGGACTGTGAGAGTGACGGGGACTCAGGCAGCAGCGCGGGCAGCTCCTCCAGGAAACAACAGCTAAGCAACAAGTTGGTGCCCTTTGGTGCAGGTGGTCCCTTGCTGGCCCAGGCGTGAGTACCCGGGAGGGGGCAGCACCTAGGAGGAGAGGGAGGGAAGTACCCAGGGAGGGGGCAGCACCAAGGAGGAAGAGAGAGACAGAGAGGGAAGTACCTAGGAGCAGGAGGCATCTCCATGCACAGAAGAAAGTATCTACGGGAAGGGAAAAGCACAGGGGAATGCCTAAGGGACATGGAGTATCAAAGGGGGAAGTACCCAATCAACGTGGCAGTACCATGGAAGGGAGGTGAAGTACCTAAGAAGGGGCAGTACCTAGGGTAACGGGGCAGTCCCTACTGGGATAGGGACAGTACCTGTTGGGATAGAGACTACCTGTTAGAGGGTAGGGACAGTACATGCCAGGGATAGGGGGCAGTACCTGCTAGGATAGGGACAGTACCTGCTAGGAAGGGATTATACCTGCTCAGGTAGGGTCAGGACCTGCTAGGATAGGGACAGTGCCAGCTAGGGATAGTGACAGTACCTGCTGGGATAGGGGGCAGTGCCTGCTAGGATAGGGACAGTACCTGCGAGGAAGGGATTATACCTGCTAGGGTAAGGGCAGTACATGCTAGGGATAGGGACAGTACCTGCTAGGATAAGGACAGTACCTGCTGGGACAGGACAGTACTGGATAGGGACAGTACCTGCTAGGGATAGGGAGGAAGGGATTATACCTAGGGTAAGGGCAGTACATGCTAGGGACAGTACCTAGGACAGTACCTGCTAGGGACAGTACCTGCTGGGACAGTACCTGCTAGATAGGACAGACAGTACCTGCTGGGATAGGGACAGTACCTGCTAGGGATAGGGACAGTACCTGCTGGGATAGGGACAGTACCTGCTAGGGATAGGGACAGTACCTGCTGGGATAGGGACAGTACCTGCTGGGATAGGGACAGTACCTGCTGGGATAGGGACAGTACCTGCTAGGGATAGGGACAGTACCTGCTGGGATAGGGACAGTACCTGCTGGGATAGGGACAGTACCCGCTAGGAAGGGATTATACCTGCCTGGTAACCCTTAACATAGTTCCCATTTACCTCAACCGCTCCTTACATGTCACGTGCCCTTCCCTCCCTCCTTCCCTCCACACTCCCCTCAGGTGTGTGAGAGAGAGGTAGACACAGTGCCACCTTTGTCACCATAGTGCCCAGGTGTACCAAAATACACCTGGGCTGTGGCTCACTCCATCAGAATTCAAATCAGAATTTTTGCATTAATGAAAAAAAAAAATTCTCATCTTATCGTGAGTGATATTTTTTTGGCCCGTGTGTGTGTGTGTGTGTGTGTGTGTGTGTGTGTGTGTGTGTGTGTGTGTGTGTGTGTGTGTGTGTCACCTGTTGTAGTCACAGTAGGAATTAGTTGATTAGTATGAAGCAGCACCTGTAATTTCTGTCAGCTTCTGTGAGTCAGTCAGAAAGAAAAATAAATATATCTCCAGCAAATCTTCTTCCTTCTTTCTCTTCCTACCCTTCTTCCTCTTCCTCCTACACTTTCTTCCCTTTTCCTCCTCATTCCTTCCACCTAATTCTCCATTTCCCCCTTTTCCTTTTCCTACTCCTTCCTTTTCCTCCTCTACCTCCAACTCCCCTTCTTCTTTATTCCATCCATTTCTTCCTCTTACTCCTTCCTTCACTCCTTCCTTCCTCCCCTTTCTACAGTTTTCCTCTCGCCAATAGAACTTCCTCTCCGTATCTATGTCTGGCTGTCATGGAGGATCTTACGTTAATTTTTCCTCGTAACTATTGATGGAATGACGTACCTAACTGACTCACATAAGATACGATACAGTTCTGGATTCTTAAAAGGCTCCCAAGTTGATTGTTTTCCTCTTAACTATAGATACGATATTACGGATTCTTAAAATTTCTTATCAGTACGCTATTTTATTCATTTATTTTTTATCTTAGCACCCCTTCTGTGTTTCATAACTTACGAGATAAATTTAACCAAAAGGGGAAACATTTCAACATACGAACCTTATAGAATTCTTCCTTTTATGTCGTAGGTTAAGTGAATGCGCTCTCACATCATCAAAGGAACGAAAAATTAAGGACAGATAAGACGATTGTTAACGTTAGCGGTAATTTTAACCCCCTCCCCCTCCCCACTTCCCCTCCCTGTGGTAAAAGATGGAGTAGTGAATGTGTTTATTTCTCCCCCTACAGGAAGGTCTCAGACAGCCAACACGATTTCTTCATGATGCTGGACGAGAAGATTGAAAACGTGAGTATTTTTATGGGTAACTGAGGTATTTTTCATTTTCTCTATCTTTCTTTCTCTTACCCCTTTCTCTCTTTCTCTTACCCCCTTCTCCCTTTCTCTTACCCCTTTCTCTCTTTCTCTTACCCCTTCTCTTTCTTTCTCTTCCCTCTCCTTCCCTACCTCCTATATCTCTCACCCCGCTTTACTCGGTCACCCCTCCACTCCTCATGGGTGACTTAAACGTAATGTTCCTGAGTCAAGTATCTGGGATATTTAGGTCAAACTCACGTCTAGTGTTGAACTGAGTAAAGGTCCCTGTTGACTGTTGTGGTGATGATGCAAGGAAGGTAATCTCTCTCTCTCTCTCTCTCTCTCTCTCTCAGGATTGTACCATGTATCAAGCTGGAGTTGTGAGAATGTGTCTGACTCACTTAAAATATGGCACTTATATTAGGGCACTTACAGGTATACTATGGTACTGTTATTCAGGCACAGTAAGGGCACTTATACTATGGCACTTAAACTACGACACTCATACTATATAACACATAGATCACTAAACACCTTCTTTCGCCACTAATAGGAAAAAAATTACGTAGGAAGCTCTGAGAATGTTGACTCATGTACACCACCAACACATAACGATTTTATGTCAAAATTTCTTCGTAATTAAAGGTGTGACAATGCATCTATTGGTTGAGGCGTTACCTTAATCAAGTTACAGAATCTTTAAGTCCAGCCCCAAGAAACACAGTTCTGTCAGGCTCAGCACCACTAACACTAGAGTCAGTCCAAGTATCCAGCTGGTTTATGGCGCAATATAAACGTCAGAGTATACTGTCTGGCCGTCATAACTCAGTGTTGATCACAAAATCTAGCCACAAAAGTTTTAGTGCCCGGCATCAAGACCCAGGCTAGTGAGAGAGATGGAAATGTGTGGAAACAAGTGGCCAGATGTACAAGGTTTTACGTGTCTGTGTTTATGGTAGTGTGGTGCCGGGAGGGTCTGTGGGATAAAACCGTCACCAGCACTCAACACCGCCTGGTTTTCCCTCCTCCATCCTGTAATGACATGCTGCTGGAAGCTACACCACATAGAGGAGTGTTTCGCTTATAGTTGTGCCTGCAGTAGGGGCCATTTACCCACGAACTCTAACATGTATCATAAAAACTGCAATAAACACATTTATATAATTCCACCCAACGAACATTCCTCTGCAGTCTCTCTCTCTCTCTCTCTCTTATGACAACAATATATGTATACTGTCTCTTATCCTTCAGGGTCCAGACTACGACTCAGAGACGGAGGAGGTGGAGCGGCGGCGGCGCCTCCAGGAGTACGCTGATCAGTGGATGACCCTCACCAACACCCGGGCCATGAGTCCTACCAGTAACTCCGCTGTGAGGTGGGTGCGTCCTCTTCCTCAGGGAGCAGGGTGTTGTCTCACTGCTGTACTGTGGAGTATCTTGATGGTGATGAAGTACAGTACAGTATTCTGGGTGCTGTTATTTAGGTTTCCTGGATGCTGTTATTGAAATTCTTGAAAAACTACTGTTGACCAACTCCTGGTGGAGTGTTCTTGTAGTTGTTGTTGCTGTGGTGATATTGTAGTTGCTGGTGATGTTCAACTCTTGCAGTGTGCTTGGGCGATCGGTCACGTCTCTTTTCATTTATCTTCTTCACCAAAAGATTGGCTCGCTAGCCGCCTGGGCGATCGGTCACGTCTCTGTCACGCACTGTTGGCAAATACTGGGCATGCACCGGCTCCTGAATGTACCTGAACCTGCTCCAGTGTTGGTCAAGTCTTGTCTTGAAAGAGCTCACACTCGGTGCCATCACAACACTCTCTGGTAGATTGTTCCAAGAGTTCACAACCCTCACTCCGAAAAAGTTTGCCCTCACGGTTTTCTGGACTTGCGGCTTCTTCAATCTTGAGCTGTGACCCCTTGTGGGGCAAGCGTCCGCCAGCTCCAAGTAAGGACACTCAACTGAGTAGTGCCCTCTGAGATGCTTATACACCTCAATTAGGTCCCCCCTTGCCCGTCTGTAGTATAAGCTAGGCAAGTTCAGGCGCTCCAATCTCTCAGGGTAGCTGAGGTGCCGAAGTGCAGGCACCAGTCTGGTGGCCCTCCTTTGAACATTTTCAACCAACTGACAGTCCCTAGCATATCTCGGGGACCAGATTTCAGTCAACATTTAAGATTTGTTTTGGTAGAAATTTTGAATTAGGAATTAATATATATAACTGCTTCATTTGTTTATTTTTATGAGGTGAGAAGACAACAATGACCAGCCTCTGAATGTGAAAAATTACAATAAATTTATATACTGTATTTGTCATGCCACAGGGAATGTGTTTCAGCTGAGGATAGTGTTAGTAAGGCCAGATTTAGTGTACTGTACTGATTTAAACACTCATTAATCTTTTTAATAAACTTAAATTCATTTTCTTCAAAAAAAATATTTCATGGTAAATACAATCATGAGTTAAAAAGTGAGTCTGAAGTGTTTTTATAGTGAGGACATCTCACCCTGACTCGCAACACATACAATAATACACAAAGCCTAGTATTTTAGTCTAATATTAGAGTACTGTACTACTGTATGTCTTGAAGTTATTTTTATCAATAATGTGATGGAGTGTACTTCAGCCATGCTTGACAATTTAGTAAATAATAAGTTAACTTGTTGTTACAGAGCTGCTACAGCTAGAGGATTCTGCCTTGTGTCTAGTGGGACGAGCATCCCCCAAGCTCACCCTAAATCTTCCCCAGTTGTGTTCAGCAGTGTAAGCTCACAGAGTGACGCAAGACCCATGTAGCACTTGATGTGATCAGTGACACTCGCACCTGTACCGTGTTCTGTATAGCACGTTTGTACCCCGGGGGAATGACCTGGGTGGCTGCACCTGCTATTACACTCACCTGAAACTTGGCTCATATTTCAGATTGTAAATAGTGCAGTTTGGTGATGAAACATCATGATACAGTATGTTGTGCTTCTTTGTAAGTCACTGGAAAAATTAAATCAGGCTGTGCAGTTTAGCGGTGCCCGGCAGCCCGACTGTGCCTAGACCAGATGCTGGGCAAGTGATTTTTTTTATGTCCATGTGTCTGGTAGACAAGCTAATATTTTGAGAGGAAAGTACCTGACAGGAATTTGTCAGGTGCTGTGTGACTCGACCTCACCAAACATGTTTAACCAGGAAGGACCATCAACAGGCCTCTTGTCAACAGTGTACTGTACCAGGATTAGTGACCTATGTCAAGTGCTGGTAATATAATATATCTTTTACATAAAGTCACAAATTAGTCATTAGTTATCAAGTTGTCAACATTTCAAAGGAACCACAAAGCTGAAAGCTGTAGATATAAGGTAACAAGAGTTATGACCTCACATGAGAAGGGTTAATGCAACTGTCACCAGATTATGGGAAGGGGCGGTAGTTTAGGTAAGACAGGTGATCACGGGTACTGTCTCCGCCTTTCCACACACCCTGCAAGTGTGAGGTGGGGTGACAGGGTTACTGCCACCGACACCATTTAGATGGACAGAAGTGATCTGTGAGTTGATGCATACAATAAATCCGGACAAGCAAATTTCCTCCAAAAACTTGTCAGGGCAAGGAAATGTCAAAAGTCACTTGCCCAGGACAAATAAATGTTCCACAAAATCTGCACAGCCTGAATTAAATGCTTTTAAATGACAATGTTTGCTTGGATTCTATGGCATTATTTACAAACCTGTGTTTTTCTGTTTGCCTTTTCACTGTTTATCTTCTACAACAAGTCCCATACTTTATGTACTGTATGTGCTATATTTAGTGTTCTTTAACTTCATGAAATATTCAGGAGTTAGTTCTAAAGTACAAGTCATATGTATCTGATATATCGCCTCTTGAGTGATTGGCTGATGCTGAGTCATGTTGGTTAGGTACAGTACAGTAGGTCTAACTAATACACCACATTACCCCTTTAAAGCAGGAATCATACTGTATTATAAATATTCAGGTACAACACTTCACACATCTGGACTGGAGAGTTATACAGCTTTTGTGGAGGTTTGTTGTATTGTAGTTTATATCAGTTTATAATGCTGTATGATCATTCCAGACTCCCTGATGAGGACACGTGTGGTTCTGGCGACATAACCGAGGATGACGAGGACGACGACGGCCTAAACGAACCGGGACGAATACCAGATGAAGCGGTGCGCGAACAGTACATGTTTATGGGCAATCTTTACACACTCACACACATTCGTACCGACACTGATAAGACAGAACCCAAAGTGGATGTGGTGACGGTTCCCAAGCAGTGTCCAGTGGAGGAGACGAGTGTGGAGGACTCGGAATTAGGCCACAAGCTCAATGGGTCCGCGGTACCAGAGGAGTCGGAAGCAAAAGAGAATGGAGTGGCAGAGGATGGAGGTACAGCCAGTAGACCTCCATCCAGACCACCTTCAAAATCATCTTCAAGACCTGCTTCTCTTATTCTTAGATCTGTATTCCCAGCAGACACTGTACAGGAATGACCCTCTTCCCCTGTGTGCCGAGGACAAGCTTAGCAGATCTTTCACAGGAAGGTGCTGTGTGGAGTTATCAAGGTTCCAGAGTATAGAGTTTTGTTATAAGTAGGGGGAGGTGGGGTTGTATGAAGAGGAAGACACTCATCATAGAACTCATCATACAGTACACAAGATGCTGCTACAAGATGAACAAGACATAGTTGGAGGGAGGTAATAACGTGACTGAAGGTGTTGGTAGTGCCCCACCTGGTAACACTGCCAGTGCTACAATCTCAAAAAATGCACCCTAGTGTATTGACTGCTGCTGAACAAACTATATAAATAATAATTTTCAGATAAAAAAAAAGAAAATTGGCTCTGTGATGGAAAAAGTGAAGTGAAAAATCTGATGGTTTTGAACCTTTGATCAAACAGGAACAGTAGAATATTATCAGTTAAAGATGATATTCAGTTCTAAGCAAACAACGAGCCAAAAATTACTGCTCAAATTAATATTTGTCAGCTGTCAGTTATATACACAACTTGTACTGTGATGACACATCTAGAGTGATCAAATGTGGTAATTTAGAAACTCCTCAGAATATTGAACTGTGAGACTATAAGAGCTGATGATGGTGACTGTTACTCTGTCTACTTAATAATTCAGTCATTATCTCATTTACCTCATTAGGGAAAACTGCATACACACACTTCACTTATCAGCCAAAAAAATTAGTACTGTATTACAACTTTTGCTAATTTTTAAAAAACTAGAACATGGAAAAAAAAAAAGACATTAAACTCTATCACAGTTGTTAAGGCAAAAATAACCTAATTTTATAAATGAAGATAAGAAGTAATTTGATTTTGTTGTACGTTGTTGTTTTGTATTTTAAATGCTGCCAGTAAACTTTTGATAAAGTTCACATAAAAGACAAATATTTGAAGTGAAAGAAGTACAGTATGGGGGATAAAGTTAAGTTAAAAGCAGGTAGGTAGAGTACTGTACTGCCCCTGTTATGATAGTTACCAAACACTTAGTCGGGCTGTGAGGACAATTACTATACAGTGAACCCTCGAAGATCCGGACTAAAAGGGGGGGACCGCCTGTCCGGAAAAGTCGATTGTCCGAATTTTCTGGCGAATAATAAATGATATAAGAAATCCCCAAAATACAGTACTAAAGGAGTGATAAACAAATTACCGCATTAAACCATGCATTTACCTATGATAACATAATAAGAAACATTGTATCATTACTAGAAAGAATGAATTAATATTCCCACAAATGACAATTGTCAACTCTGTTTATGTTTCCCACCTCCTCGGGCACCTGTGTCCAAGCAACTGATGGGTCAAGCAGCACCCACGGGCCTAAAATGTTCTTTGCTCTGGTTTGGGAATGTTTCTTAGGGAAACTTCTTAGCCCAGAACCCCCCAATTTTTTTTTGTCCGCATCTTCCAAAATCCGGATTTCCCGGGTCTGGATCTTCGAGGGTTTACTGTACCTCGAGTAGATTTATTCACTACTTTTCCAGTATTTTTTTTATGACAAGATACTCAAATATCTTATGAGAATCACTTAGGTATGAACTTTTGAATTTCATAATCCTGTACAGTACACTATCACATCATTTTTTCTTAGGAACTCTAAATTTGACAGAGAAACTAAAAAAAATAATAATCAAGTATCATACTTTTCTCCAATGACTGAAGGTACCTTCAATATTCCAGTCTTGTTTTAGTTGCTGTTCGTGACCTGTGGCCGACGGCTTCAGGAACACCTCTGCATGGGAAATTCTTAACCCAATGCTGATGTAATATAATTTTGCTCTTCTTTTTTTTATTGTTTCGTAAGTGTTGTATGTTGATCTGAGAATGGTAGTGAGGGAACTGTACTGTATCAGCCAGTGGGTGTAAAGGGCAGGAAGTAATATCCTTCTCTCCATCACTGGAGCACTGGCAGCAGTCGCGAGCTTACACCAGTGCATGCGTGCCCGAGCGGGTCCAGACAGGAAGCGTCAGTAGATGAGTTTTCCCGCTTGAGCAGTATATATATATATATATATATATATATATATATATATATATATATATATATATATATATATATATATATATATATATATATATATATATATATATATATATATATATATATATATATATATATATATATATATATATATATATATATATATATATATATATATATATATATATATATATATATATAATTTTTTTTTTTTTTTTTTTTTCATGTAAATCCACAATGAAAACGTGGATAAGATAAATCTTGATAAAATCACATGGGAAAATGGAAACAACAGATTGTTACTGCCAGTCTTTCCTCTGGAGATATTAGGTTCCTGAAGTTTTTAGTTTGTGTTTCGAGGCGAGGTTCGATGAGAGATAGCAACTCATGGAAAGTCTCAGGCTTCACGCGGAAATATTCATAAAATTTGCCAGGGTCCAATTGCAATTGCGGGGTCAGATGGTGGTATTCACCAAGCTGCTCTCTCTCCTCATTTATCTGGTGTACTCACACCAGCTGAAACTTCCATGAGTATGCCATCTCTTCGAGTATTCGTGCCAGACAGGGATTGTGAACATGTGCAGTCGGTGCGAGAATGGTGGGAAAGGCGTTGCCATGATAACTCCCTCCAACCACGGCGATTTTCCGCTTCCAGTGAGGCCATTCAAACACGCCAGCCCGCCGCCGCTCTCGCCTGCCCACTCTCAGTGCAGCCGCGGTCATAGACCAGTGGTGGGAAAGATGGAGCAGTAGTAGAGGAGATAGAGCAGTGATGGTAGAGATGCTGCAGTGGTGAGAGAGTTAAGAGCAGAGGTGGGAGAGACTCTACAGTGGTGGGAGTTAGAGCAGTAGTAGAAGAGATAGAGCACTTGAGGAAGAGAGAAAACAGTGATGGTAGAGACAGAGAAGTGGTGGACAGGTACTCAAGGTGCTAAGGTCAGGAATCAGATACTGTATTCATTTCAAAACATTAGTTCCATACAATGTTGTGCCTTGCTTAAAGTTGACGTCACAGGAGTTATAATAAACCAAATAATACAGATGTGCTTGTTAGTTCATAGGCAATAGATGCATCGTATGGTGAAGGAATTACAAAACTGCAAACTCTTAAAATATTTAGATGATCATGAAGGATGTGATTTAGTTTGTCTTTTGGAATTTAAGATGAGAGTTAAAAGATTTTCAGGAAGAGAAGATACAAATTAGATAGAAAGAGTTGAGACTGGTGACATGTGGTAGTTGTGTAGAGTGAAGATGTGTGTAATTTGACTAGAGTCTTCTTTATTTACTCCACTGCAATACTTACAGGGAGGGAGATAGTCCAGCATTATGTACTTTGGTTCTATTGCAATACTGTACTACTCTAGTGGTGAACAATTTGGAATAATTAAATGCTGGGTATTTTTCAGTGTTACCAATACAACCTTGTGTTAATGTATGGTACACCTTCCAAACATGTTGGAGGTCCAAGTCATAAGTTCCTTCCCAACCCTGTTAGCAATACTTGGGTCAGCTCCCACACTGTGTGCTCCTCTGCTATATTTTCTGTATTAACATTTTCCTTTTACAGAGAAAACTATTATGTAGCAGTAACTCAGAAAAGCAGCTAAACCATAGAAACTGCTTTCAATTCAAGATGAATAGTTTTAAGGCATGTTTATGTTAACTGGTGCTAAACGTAAGATGGACTCTGAGTTGGTATTGTCCTTGAGTGGCGATGATCACTGGGCGCTTTATTTCGGTAAAGGTTGGTCGGCCGTTATATTTTAACTACAGTACAGTACTTGTATATGATATATCCTCCATATATTGTTGGTATTTGAGAGACAACAGAAGGAACTATTAGAGTTGTGTTAGATTTAATGATAAGAATAAATACTTGGGGAGATAGACAGTGAGTTTGGAGGAGTGAGATGCAACATTTTGTCATATTACATGACTTAGTAGGATTACTGATTCCAGTTTTGTGATACAATTAACCACATCATCTCTGTTAACCGTATATCACAGGATAGTTGGTACAGGTTATCATGGGGACACCATCTCATGACAGGAATGAATTACTTATGATAATGTCTAACCTAAGTACTATATAATCGCAATCAGTGACAAAAGTCTTATATTTTCTTTTTTATAATAATTTATCACAGAAATTTGAAAAGCAGTAGAAATATTCGGTATTATATTAAAACACAGTTGAGTTTCCTGTGTGTATTAAAACATTATTTTGGTGTACATTTGTGACCATTTTATTTTATTTTATTTTAAAGAAATCATGTAAAGTTGTTAGTGTGTATAGAGTTATAGAGTGAACGCTTCACTGTAAAGAGACATTGCCATTTTTATGAGATAGCTGATGCACCTGTACAAGTTTGGACACTGTCAGTGAGATGAGGTAGGAACTCACTCATTATCTGGACACAGAAAAAAAATGCCTGTGAAACTGTACATATATATCAATGACTTGATTCATGTAGATCACCTTTATATATATTTAAATACCTCTTGGTGAGTCTAGCTACGTAACATCAACTTCAAATCCAGAATGTTTTAGTACCACAGAAAACATTAAACAGAACACTAGGTCCTGATCATTTTGTAAGGTGTTAACTGTGCATCAAGTTAACAGAGGCATATGATAGAGGTCATGCAGGTTGTTAGTGACACAAGGACAGATGCTGAGCAGAATTAGCAGTGTGTTACCATGTTGTCCAACGTGGTGTGTACATAGCCCATCACACTAGCTATAAGAGGCCATGAGATAAACAGACTTTGCATCTCATTCATGAGTAAATGTTTTGAGAGGAATACTTCATCTTGGAGTGTGGCACAAACATTAAAAGAAGGCAGTACTGTATGGTTTAAGTGAAAGAAATATTGTACTGAAATTTGCTATAAAAAAATCCCTGTCATTAGTGATAGTTTTCCATAATCATATGTAAAAAAAAAAGCTTTAATTTTTTATTTTACTGGCAATACTTTTCTTTTCTTCTCTTTTTATTAAAGATTATAGTTGAAACTTTGGTGAGTGTAGCGACTCCACCAGGACACTGTCAACTTCGGTAGTAATTAGCACTTAAAATATGGTACATGTTATGTGTTATGGTTCCCTTATATAGAAGATGGAAAATTCTGATTCTCAGATATTTCAGTGTAGTTCTCCCTGTGGCGGTCATGATAACTTATGAATATGTAAAATGCAGTGCCAATGGTCCCAGCCTCCTGAGATACAGTGTGATGATTGCACAGTATTAATTCTTCCAGATCCTGTTATGTATTATACTCTTAGGAAATACAGTGATTTACTTTTTTGTATCATGATTATCTTAACACAGCAGCTGGAGATGTGTAGCCTCTACATATGTCCATTGAGGATCTGCTTTTTTCACTTTATTGGATTTTATGCTACTGTATCTATCTATCTAATGGTAAGTTGGAAGGATGTGAACTGTCTTTAATCCATTATTGCCTACTGGAGACTTGGAATATTTGTAAACAGTTAAGGTTCATTTGGAGGGGGTTGTGAAGTTTACATTCTGTTAACTTTCATCAAGTATCTAACACAAGTGTCACGGACGCAACACGGCCTGTGAAGACGTACTTTGCTTCAGTCTCCCAGGATCATGAAGGTCAACTACCAAATAAATTATTATGAATGTCATGCAACACGCATTTTTTCATTAAAAAAAAATTATAACAACTTTTCTTTTGTTTTCAAGTCAGTGTATATGTGTGTATCATGGTAAAAGACATGAATGGTAAGGTTTCAGACATGATAGCTTTCAGAGCATTGTTTGCTCATCACTGTTGTTGAGATGCACTTTTTATAGTATATAAACTTTGAAATTTGAGGGTTAATGATGTTGACAACAGATTATATCAGAGATATTTATACTTGAATGATTGGTATTAACCTTAAATATGAAATGTTCAATAATTTAGGCTGTATTTAAATGTACCCAGTTAGTAGTTGGTGATTAGTGTAGCCTTCCATACTGCTTGTTGGAAGTGAAGAGGAGGGACTGGCTCAACCTCTACCATAGCTTCAATCCTTTAGTGGGGCCTTAATCCTAGACAGAGCCTCTCATTGTCAAACATCAAACAAGGTACAGAAAACACAAGGGCTAATTACTGCATTCTGTGATATTCTGGTATCATAAATTACTTCTCTTGAACCTAATTGGGGCATTTTGTAGTAAGTTACCTCAAAATATTGTATTCTCATGGACGTTTATGTATCTTGACGATTAAACTAGTCATTGGTAACAAACTAATGAAGAGGGAGTTGGGCATGGTAGAGTGCTAAGTAAATATATATAAGCAGGTACTTCCCCACTGAAAATTTTTAGTGTGGTTTAATATTATTTGAGTAATTCTCAATGTTGATTTGTGAAGCCGTAGATGAGAATGGTTGTATTTTTTATTTACTCCAGAGGTCACTGTGACTTATTTGGAGATTGTTAAATATTTTTGACTAATTTCTCTTGTAATGGAACTTTTAATAGATTATTAATTTTGCTGGTGTGTATGGATTAGGTTATAAGTCTATAAATACATGAAATAACTAGTAAATGTCTACTACCATCACCAGTACATTAATAATTGCATGGGACTTGACACAACCTTCATTGTTAATGAATGCTCAAACGCTTATGTCATCCCAGCTACAAAAGTTTCCTTTAACAACAGTCATAGTCACTTATGATAACACCTGATGCAACGGAAACTGTTTAAAAATTAAGATCCATCCCTTTTAATTAAGATCCATCCCTTTTAATTTACAACACTAACAGGTTTCTAATGTAAATTGTGTATAGCTGTATGTAAAGGATTAAGAATTATAATTATGTTCTATGAAGCCAATTTCAGAGATGAGAATAAATACTTAAGAGTTCCCAGTTGAATGAGACCAACGGCTCTGGTGACCCGCTCACAATGTTGCCCCTCTGTGTGTGCGCCTCCGTCTAGGCTACAGAACTCACTATGTGTCTGTGATCGAGTCTGTATTAGTTTTAAGTCTAAAGTTAAGGTTACAACTTAAGGAAAATTACTATTTATGTGTTGAATTTGCTGAGTCTGATGTAAGAAATAGATTTATCAAAAAGATATTGGCAGAGAAAGGCGACTGTTGTGCATTGGCAAATGTACGATTAATTTTCAGTACAGTATTAAAATTGTATGATTATCCACACTCGTGTTTTTGACATTGTATACAACCTGCTTCAAATAATAGTATACTATATGTTTAGTATCTGTCTTGGGTGTGTCAGGTGACCAAGGTGTTAGTCTTGGGTGTGTCAGGTGACCAAGGTGTTAGTCTTGGGTGTGTCAGGTGACCAAGGTGTTAGTCTTGGGTGTGTCATGTGACCAGGTGTTAGTCTTGGGTGTGTCAGGTGACCAGGTGTTAGTCTTGGGTGTGTCATGTGACCAAGGTGTTAGTCTTGGTGTGTCAGGTGACCAGGGTGTTAGTCTTGGGTGTGTCAGACCAGGTGTTAGTCTTGGGTGTGTCATGTGACCAAGTTGTTAGTCTTGTGTCATGTGACCACTTAGGTGTGTGTCATGTGACCAGGGTGTTAGTCTTGGGTGTGTCATGTGTCCAGTGCAGTCTTGGGTGTGTCTGTGACCAGGGTGTTAGTCTTGGGTGTGTCATGTGACCAGGGTGTAGTCTTGGGTGTGTCAGGTGACCAGGGTGTGAGTGTTGGGGTGTGTAGTCTTAGGTGTGTCATGTGACCAGGGTGTTAGTCTTGGGTGTCAGGTGACCAGGGGTTAGTCTTCTGTGTGCAGTCTTGGGTGTGTCATGTGACCAGTGTGTGTGTGACCAAGGGTGTTAGTTTAAAGTCAGGTGACCAAGGGTGTTAGTCTTGGGTGTCAGGTGACCAAGGTGTTAGTCTTGGGTGTCAGTGACCAGTGTGACCAGGGTGTTAGTCTTGGGTGTGTCATCATGTGACCAGGTGTTAGTCTTGGGTGTGTCAGGTGACCAGGGTGTTAGTCTTGGGTGTGTCAGGTGGAACCTTAAGGTGTGTTAGTCTTGGGTGTGTTAGGTGACCAAGGTGTTAGTCTTGGGTGTGTTAGGTGACCAAGGTGTTAGTCTTGGGTGTGTCAGGTGACCAAGGTGTTAGTCTTGGGTGTGTTAGGTGACCAAGGTGTTAGTCTTGGGTGTGTTAGGTGACCAAGGTGTTAGTCTTGGGTGTGTTAGGTGACCAAGGTGTTAGTCTTGGGTGTGTTAGGTGACCAAGGTGTTAGTCTTGGGTGTGTCAGGTGACCAAGGTGTTAGTCTTGGGTGTGTCAGGTCAAGGTGTTAGTCTTGGGTGTGTCATGTGACCAAGGTGTTAGTCTTGGGTGTGTCAGGTGACCAAGGTGTTAGTCTTGGGTGTGTCAGGTGACCAAGGTGTTAGTCTTGGGTGTGTCAGGTGACCAGGGTGTTAGTCTTGTGTGTGTCAGCTGACCAAGGTGTTAGTCTTGGGTGTGTCAGGTGACCAAGGTGTTAGTCTTGTGTTGGGTGAATGTGTCTGTTATAAAAGAATACAATTTGAAGCAAAATAAGAAAAATTCCTGTCAATACAAAACTTCTTTTCCTTTCACACCAGACACCAATAACTGTAGTGTAGTTTTCTGTTGAAGGTAACAAAAACTATTGTTATTCTCTTTCTTTATTCCTTCTTCAAAAGCTTAAAAGTATATTTATATAAACCTCTTCATAATTCTTATCGTAATATAAATGACCAGCATTAAACAGTGAATGCCAGCTATTGCTCTGAAATTATTTGATAAAGTTTATTTAATGTATCATGGAGATACGAGGCATTGCGTGGAGAAACTAGCACCACCGAGGCCACATGACTGCAAATGGTTCTTAAAACACACTATTTTCATGAGGTGATGAATGAATGCCCAAACGACACTGACCATATGGTTTAAAAGTCCATAGACAAAAACCTAACTCTGGTTCACATCTCGTCAAGGCTACATTTTTATCATTTTTGCGTGGTGAATGTAGCACATCCGCCAAATTCTTTGTGTGAAACATAGGGCCTTATGTCATAAGGCTGTAAGTGTGTTTGTGGGCTTGGGGTGGGGGTAAGAAGGGAGCTTTATGGTGGAGGCAGCCAATCAGCAAGCAGAACTGCATGCCGGGCAGGGCTGGTGGCGCACTTTTTTTCAGTCCTTGTCTTGAGACTTGAGTGCGGAGGAGGTGCATCTCGTGCTAAGGGAGCGTTGCTTTTCTTCATTAATATCGCCGTTTGCGGTTGTGAATTGTCACTACACAACAATGTCAAGTGATAGTGACTAAGTTGTTGATGTTGAGGCCCAGCCTGTGCCCTCTACGTCGACTGGAGGCTTCTCTTCAGTCATGTTTTATTCTCAGAAGCCACCTAGGGAGTCAGTGTCCAGGGGCCTGATGACAGTGAAGCTTCCCACAGTGGAAAATCAATTTAGGGTGTACTGTATTTACCCGAGTTTTTATTACAAAACATTAAGGAAACATTATTGTTGGTTACGGTAGGTCCGGTTAGGTGAGGTTAACAATATCGTTGCAAAAAATTATTTGCATAACTTACAAACATTCAGCTTCATTTTAAAAGAAACTGCAACATTCTAACTAGAATACTTTCCATGTTATCAATTACTAAATGTTGTAAACTTTGAATGAATTTCCTGACAAAAAATGAGAATGGTGCTCGTGCTAGTTTTTCCACGCAACGCCTCATATATTGTTGAGTAACAAGTCCACAAGTTATATTCACGCTGTAAACACTCCGTGTGTTGCTGCACTCAAAGTAATTTATGCCAAGTACTTCTCGGCCATCAAATGAAATGTATGAAAAACTTTAACTATATATTAAGTCCTCTGGATATGTTAAATTTCTTCAATTTAGTTTACCAAAAATTTTTCAAAATATCACTTTTATTGGAGATTACAAAGTACAAGATTAATCACTTGATATAGTCACCCGCAAACAGTTGGAGAGAGAGTGCAAATGACGTTTCACCATGACCGCTCTGGCAGCAGACAATAATAATTGTTTGAGACAGAAATCTAATTCACGCACACCAACAACAGATTCAAAAATTGCATACTGTACCTCTACATCATCATACTGTACCTCTACATCATCATTCTGTACCTCTACATCATCATCATACCGTACCTCTACAAGTACAGTATTTGATAATATAAAACAATACAAAAAGCCGAGAGAGGCTTCACTAGAGACCTTGAGTACATTATCACAAGATTATGGAGCACAAGTTATGTTTCTGCCTCAACAGGAAAGTGTCTACTGTACATAATAAATAATCTCTAGCTACAGTGCTATCAAATTGAAGAAACTAACACGTGACTGTGAGGAAGATTGCGTAAGTTCACTTGTGTTCCTCGATCTGACCTTTAATAAGATCTGTCATCACTGGGTACTGAACCTTCTTCTTGTCCAGTTCATCCTGAGCCCAGAGGAGGAGTTTCAACAGCTCAGCCAGCAGAGGAGTCGTTTCTTCTTGGTTCTGAGCTCGCAGTATGGCAGCATTTAGTTCACTTGCAACCTGCACAATAAAAGAAACTGGTTTATCAAAGTACAGTACATGTTTACAACCATAAATGATATGTTTATAATTTACCTGCTGTTTGGGGGGGGACAGCCCAGGGAGAACGATGCAAATGGAAATATCTTTAGGATAGAACATGTTAGGCGACACACCTTTAGGTACGACATCTGCTCAAGGTAAGTTACAACAGGAAACAAATCACCAGGAAGAGTGATAACCTAAACTAAATCCAGGGAGATATAACTCTTAGCAATGAAAACATGAAACTCAAAAGATTTTAAATTTGACTGATATATCTACAAAGTCTGAGTAAAAATCCATTGTTTTTTTTCTTTAAATTATGTGTTTTACAACTCCCAGATACATCTCCCTCCAAAGACAGCAGGGGTCAATCATTACAATTTATGAAAAAAGAGCAAATGGCATATATTCCAACAGCATATGATTCTAGGTTAGCTAATAAGAAGCTTCAATAGCATCAGTGGCATGTACAGTACTGTACTATATAAGTAACTGAGAATCAACTTCACTCTACTGACCTTTTGTCTATGAGAAGGATGCAGTAAATCACCAAAGGGGGAGGTATCTGGCTGGTCAAAAGCTAACAGTGCTAAGGTCCGTTCTAACTCATTAAGGATGGATGGGTCTCGCTGGCCTCTCTCAGCCAGGTGGTCCTGAGCATATACTACGGCTTCCTCAACACGACCCTCCCGGATCAGTTCAATTAACACTTGTTGCTGTAAAGGAAGAACTCGGTCAACACCTAATAGTCTAATCGTTATCTTCAACACTAGCCACTTGTGTATGGGGTCCCCTATCTGCTGAATTAAATGTCATCCCTGTAGTGAAAGGGTTAACATCTCAGGGAGCAGCTACAGACATAATTCAACTTTCAACATTAAAATTATTCACCTATTACCAGACGTTTTGACTACACTCTCTTGTAAACTTCTTTTTCACATCCAAAATTTGGTGACAGCTCAGTAAAGTATAATTGAACACATTTAAACTTATTTCCTTCAGTCATGGTTGGTTAGTCCAGGATCTTGATATGACTGTGACTATACAGTAAACTCCTTCTAACCCAGACTTGCTTAATCTGGATCCCCTTACAAACCAGACTGGGGTCCAGCACCAGACACATGTATCCCCAACCCTGGAGAAAATAATCAAAATCCAGTTAGTATGAGGGAAAGTTGGTGTAAGCATGGACTGCTGCTACTGGTGGCACGCACAGGAGGGGTAACTCAACAGCTGCCTTTGAGGAGGCAGTACAAGTGTCTTAAGAAATATGAATAGTGTTGTGTACAGTACAGTACATATAATCAATGAAAGCAACAGTGAAAACTTACCTCCTCTCCACCTCCGGCGGTGTACATTGTGTCTTACAATCACCTCCTGCCTCAACCGCCTTATCAAATCAAGACTCGACCAACTCATGATAATTTATTAATTAATAAATACAGTACTTTATTAATAACATGTAGTATGTACTTCTATTTTTCACCTACAGACATATTATAGTGCAGTAATAATGTGTATCATATGCAACACTTCTATTTTGAGTGATTCTCTGAACTTTTTTACACACAGTACGTCACAACCCTAAGCGTTTAAAAAACGTTCACATGGCAGATAAAAACCCTGAGGGCAAGGCCAATCTACCCCCACCTCCAGCACATTTACACAAGCAGTGTTGTCTCGTACCTATTAGCCTGTCACACCTATATCAAATCTGATTAGGCCACTGTACAATATCCCTATGGAAGACAATACAGTAGTACAGCTGTATCTCTTTTAATACAAAATAAGTAATGTGTTACCTGAAGATGGAAGTAGAGCTGGGAGTTATCGTCGAGGATCTCTGGGTGGAGCGCCGTCACCATCCTCATAGCATCTTGGAAGTGGCCAGTCTGGATGGCTGACCGGATACGAATACGTTCATCCAGCTGATCTAAATCCATTGGAGGTTTTATGTTCGCTTCTATGGAAAATTTCTCGGCTGCTTCCTTAAACCCCTCTGAAAGTAGTACAGTATCCTATAATTAGTACAATACCTGTATAATCTAACATCCAAAATGCTGAGTCAAATGAGGCACTCTGGGCGAGAACTAGACAAGCGACAGAGGTAAAAACACCAGAAAATGCTATTAAAGTTTAAATGGAGGTTTGAAGATTATCTGGTGTCATAAATACATCTCAAGCCACTCTGTTGTCTGTCTTTCTCTCAGCCTTAGCACCTCATATAACAATACTCAATCATGGAGCCAAAATACTACAGATTTGTAAATTCACAAGTCCTTAAATTATTGCATTAATGTAAATATTCAGGATTTAGCTGATAAAGACAAGAGAACATTACTTTGATGATTCAGTAACTCTTGTATAATGTCATGCAGACTGGCAGGTAGCCCAAGGAGATATATATATATATATATTGATTCCTATACTGTACTGTATATAATTTAATTGCTTTACACTGAATATAGACAGATAGAGAAGTGAAAACCAAAACTGTACTCTCTCTTGCATAAATAGCAGAGCATAAAAAAAGGATGAACAGCTACACACAGCAAAGTCTAACGATGACAATATTGAAAAGTTAAGGACAGAAACATGGAAAATGGCAATAAAATGATGACGGTGATGATGATGTTGACAATAACACAAGAGTAACTCACCCATGACGAGGTAGTTCATTATCAGTTTGTTCATGTCGGCACGGTGGATGTGCATCTTGCCCGTCTCTTCCAGCCATTCCGAGGTGTCCATGACCTTTATGCCGTCGTTAGAGCCACTTTGGTCAGTATCGCTATCCACGTTTGTTCTCATAAACACTTAGCCTGAAATATGTCGTGGTTTTAGGACTTGTGGCCGTAGTCTCAAACTGAGGGAAGGTGCTCTCCGTGCACATCCCCGGGTATCTGACGGTCTTGATGCGCAAGCCGGAATGTATTTACTTTCAGTTGGGTGAGGGTGACTGCAGTGTTGAGTCACTGTGGGCTCGAGGCCTCCCCTTTGAATTTTTTTTTGTAGAATTACATAGCTGCTGTAGGTGTAAAATTTCACTGTAGTAAAAGAAAGTGTAGCGCTGTATATTCCTTAATTGTTCAAGTAAAGTTCCACGATCGCAAATACGAACGTTGATATACACGTACACGAGCAATTTACATCCTCAACACTTGAAAACGTACAGCCAGAACAACAACACTAACTCACAGATGATACACCTCTTTCTTTTCGTAAATGATGTTCACTATTGCTACTTGCTCACCAGTGATATAGAGGACGACCAAAGAAAGTTCACCAACAATTGAATAAATGTCAAGTATAACTGATAGACGATCACCATAATAGAGCATAGAAAAAAAATCCAGTACAATGTTGATATCTTTAACCCACAATGTCTAACAAGGTTGATTCAAGACTGAATTTCATAGGTTTTGTTACATTTTTATTCCCACATACAGTAGGGTCAGGATATATCGCAAGATAGGGTTCAACGATGTTCGCTATATAATACTGCATACTAAATCGCGATATATAATTTCATGTACCTAATCAATGGGGAAAATAGGGTTAGGTTCTGGAGGCCCAAAAAAGTGACTATACTTGACTTAACGAGTTCATTTTCTTACTAACTAAAGCACCAATGAACACTAGACTCGGGAACAACAGGCTATTTTAATGTCAATATCAAGGAACACCAGACTCGCCAACTGACGCACCATCCTGGGAACACCAGACCAGGCAGTAGACGCCACACTGCCACCCTCACTTGACAATCCCACACCTACATAAACGAACAAACCAAAAATATTAATTACAGTATTAATCTTTTCCATTAAGCTTTCCATTCTCTTCACTTCACTTTTCACGTCACTAGCAACCCATTTACACTCACCTTAGAAGTCGTAATCTGCAGCAGAGTTGGCTGGTTTCTCGTCACTCACTCAGAAAGGCTGAGCGGGTGAGCGTGAATGCGTGAGTGAGCAGCCACGGTGGCGCCTCTGGTGAGCAAATAACGCATTTGTTTGCCATGGTGGTACATTTGAAATATTTCCTGCCCGATTTCCCTCACGAAATAAAAAAATATTGCTATATACAGGTCCTCCTCGACTTACGACCTACCCGACTTACGACAACCCGGACATGCAAACGCAGTAGTCGTATAAAATATTTTTCAAATTATGTATTTTCTAGTACCGAAACGTTTCCGTCCCTTACGACAGCGTGGGCTGGGCCGCCTATTGGTGTACAGCATCCACGCTGCAGCCAGCTCAGTTGGTGTTGTTAGTGATCGCGCTGTGTACCGACAAAATTTTCGTTTCTGATTCCCTTTAAAATGGCTGGCAAGCGTAAAAGTGAGAGTTCTCGTGGTGCTGATAAGAAAAGGAGACAGTCAATTACTTTTGAGATGAAATTAAAAATAATAATGCAATATGAAAATGGAAAAACGGTAGCAACCATTTCACGTAACCTTGGCTTCTCTCACTCGAAGATATCAACAAATTTGAAGGACAAAGCAGAGGCATTTGCTACTATTAATAAGGGGATGCAAATGTTTTAAGAAATGGATCAAAATGTTGAGCGTTTTGCAAAAGTTGACAGACTGATCCAAGATGTACTTGCTTGCTACAGGGAGATTTACAATGAAAAGAAAAGGCAAACTGTGCAGTCTAAATTGTACATATATTTTAAGAAGTCCCCCACTGCTGTCTCCTCACACCCCACCACTGCTGCCTCTTCACTCGCTAAAGATGATCCAATACCTTCAACAAGCAAGTATGTTAGCCTGTCTGAAGAAAGCAAAATTGATGACGCACCCAGCCCTGTCTCTTCCTATGCTTCATCCAATTAATGTAGTCTCCATGTTAAATAAAAAAATTATTGAGGCCCCGTGTGCATCCAGCTGACTACATTAAAGGTAAGTGCACAGTAACACTTTATTCATTTTTCATTATTGATTACTTTTACTGTACAGCATTTCATTTTAGAACTTCTATGTAATATTTTCGCATTTTCGACTTACGACCTGGTAGTCGGTCCGGAACCCCATTGAAAGTCGAGGAGAAACTGCATAGGAAAATGTCGATAATTTTGGTAGCCGCGATATAAAATAATCGCTATATAAAGTCGCGATATATCCCGACCCTGCTGTACATAAGAATTCCAGTTATCCAGTCCAGTATTCGAGAAACTGGAAGATTCAACTATCCGGCTCCAAAATGAAATAATAATACAGAAATAAATATTCCTCCAAAATCATCTAGAATCACAAATTTGAATACCACACAAAGGGGATGTGCTGCTATATTTATTGCTATGATAAACAAACTCAATACATAGCAATACATAAAATACAACAGCACATATTTTAGGTACTGTATAAAAAATAGCTCCTTCCACACTCACACCATCTGGGCAACGCAACACAGTTCAGTCAGGCAGTCACTCAGCTGACTCAAAAATGTGTGGCCGCCGCGCTGGCTGTATGTATGATGTGGCGTCACATTCTGCAATTATAGCCCGGTAATCCACCGCCTCAACATGCATTCACTTCCCACACACACACACACCCATGTTCTTCAGTTTTCTTATTTTATAGTTTTATATTATACATACCTGCATTTCCTATATTTCTATGCACCATTGTTTATAGAGTGAAATAAGTGTTAAAGAAGTCCGTTTTTCTGAGACAAATTTGCGAGGTAAGCCTGTAGCATTGCATTGTAAGATTTATTGGGGGATAACTGGGATTCCACTGTACTATTTTCAATTAATGTTGAGTACTGGTCAGTGTATAAAGTATGGTTAGATCAGACATGGCCAGTCAATAGAAGGAAGGAAGACTCCCTGTAGACTCAAACACACAGTTATGGGGAAGAAAATGGTAACTAAAGCCACACATTTAAGCAAGATATATACAATTCAAGATAAGACAGTTTTGTGATAAATTTGTATTACCAAGTGTACGACACGATGGCTCGTGTGTGCTGCCAGCTATGCAGACGCTGAGGTAAGCCTAAATGGGTAGTGGGTACTTGTATCTTGTCTTAACAGGACCGTCAGCCTAATAAACAAGAGCTGCATATGAATTCCATCGCAAAGATTGACTGTAATTTTTATAAAACTACCCACTAGTATTTAAATTGCGTCGTTGCTGCTGATGAAGTGACAACCACTGTTACTAATTGTTTCCATTGCTTGACCATTCGAAGGGGCAGGCATTTCCTCTGCTAAGTACACCGGTCAAAGTGAGGATGGCTGCTTATACCACGTGCGGTGCGAGGGTTAGAAAACTTACGTCCTGTTTCACGACTACGGCCATTAAAGCTTGATTAGATATCTTAGTGAATAATAAATAATAACATCATCACACCAATGTACAAATAACATAAAATATGAAAATAATTAAACTAAGAGCAACATTATTACTCTAAGAAATCTAAATACCGGTACATACAGGCAGTCCCTGACTTACAACAGGGATATGTTCCTGGACTCTAATCATAAGTCTATTTGTTCGTAAGTCAGAACAGTGTTAATTCCATAGTTTAGGTTAAGTTAAAGCAATCTTGCCGATACAAAACAATAATATTCCATACATAACAAATAATGTAGCTAAATACTGTAAATTATACATGAAAATAATGTAAAAAAAAAAAATGGAATTTTCATTAAAAATTTTTGTGATGAATGTATTGGGATCCCATTCATAAGTTGGATGGTCAAAACTCAGGGACTACTTGTAAAAGCATTTTGGCCAGAAAAAAACGTGTGACAGTAAAACAAAGAAAAAGAAAATGTTTGGTAGTCCTAGCCAAAGCACTTCTTTTTTAACCCCTTATGTACGGGTCTCTCTCTCAGCTGAATGTCATCATCCGGTGTTAGTCGAATAAAACATCAAAAGTGTTGTCCCTGTAGTGAAGGGGTTAACAAAGCAAAACTTAGACAAACTAGAATCCTAAAGTAGACGAGACAACTCTGGTGCCTTAAAGTCATTGAACAAGACTTTCAAGAAAAAGGAAGATTTTCAAATTATAAAAAAATTGGTTCAAAGTTAATTATCTTACAATTTGTATCCCTGGAACTTTCTCATAGGTGGAATGAATTTTGAGCCTTCTGGGAAATTCTGGGAAAATTCTCTCCACTCTTGCCATGGGAATGAGTTTCCGTAAACTAATCTAACTTAATCAACCCAACCCAGCCTAACCTAATCTAACTTAACCAACCCAACCCAGCCTAACCTAATCTAACTTAACCAACCCAACCCAGCCTAACCTAACCAACCTAACCTAGCCACAGAACCCAGGAACTACATCTAACCTAAATTCCTAAGATTCCCTGGATGACCAAAACTAAAATAATACCCAACCTTTTATTACATGCAAATTATGACATTGAATACTATTACAATTTTACAAAGTAATTTATCTCATTTTTCAAACACTACTAACCTTTGTGTATGTCCTTGGTAGGTAAAGAAAACTCCAAAAATAAAAGTACCATTATCATAACTCACCTTAACCGTAGCTTTTAACAGTAAATTAAACGGTATTTTTGCGTTTACACACCGCACATTCCTACCACTAATCTATTATCATATTCTAATAAGACGTCTAATTATAAGATAATTTTCATCTATTACATTACCGGCGGAAATGTATAATAACGGAGATAGCATATCCAAAATTTTCTCTATTTTCTTCCATTAATCTTCCGCCATTATCACCTGCCTCACCTCCAACACTGCGTGTCTCCAGCGTCTCCTTCATAAATCATCACGCGCATGCGTTCCCGTAAACGTCACGCGGCCAATCAAAAGCGTTTTTGTTTTTGCAACCAATTAAAATGAGTTTGGGTTTAATTCGTGGTATATTTGGCCCAATCAAATTCGAATTTTATTTTGGTCTCTCATATTTCGAAATTCAAGTTCAGTTCCGACCATGGAAGTCTGCGATGGGTGTCACTTAAAGTATATGGAGCTGATTGTGAGTTTTTGGAAAAAAAAACGAAGAAACTGTAGCATTTTTTCGATCGCATGGTGTTCTTCCAACCTCAGTAAAGTGTACTAAGAGCAAGACGGAATGTAAATATCGCAAACACCAACATATGTGACGTTGTGTAAGAATCCCAGAATGCAACGACGAACAAGAACCAGACCAATAAGGTATGACATAGGTGATTCCATCATATGGTGAGTCAGTTAGGTTAGGTCAGGTTAGTTTTTTTTTTTTTTTTACGTGTTTTTTGGTGTATTTTGCCATAATTTTTTTTCGGAAAACGTCCAACGAAAAAAAATCAATAAAAAAACGTATGTGACAGTACAAATATACCTAATAAACTATATCCAAGACAAAAACTATATGTTAACAGTAAGTACTTCTGTAGAACCTCGAATACTGAAATGACAATAAACCATCACTACTATCCTCCCACACATCTACATCATCCTGAACCATCAAGTAATGTTAAATATTGTCTTGATATATGATTAATTAGCATAACTGGGTCTTACCTGAGGCAGAGGATAGGTAAAGAAAACAAGAGACTATCCTGGGGTCAGCTGGAGGTGTAAAGTAAACAAGGCAACGAGAGGCAGCCACCAGGGTCCTTATATCACGAAATAACATCAATAATTACATTAGTTATATGTATATTTGTATCATTAAATATAAATTATAAATCAAGACTTAAACACATAAAAATGAGTTACAAAAATTACATAAAGTATATCTATAATCCTATGACCTCATCTATTTCCAGTACAGAATATCAATATTATTAAACGTTTAAAGATGAAGATATTTATTTCAAGTAACTTACATCAAAAAAAATATTAACTCTAGTAGAACTCCCGGTTTTATTATATTTAAACACAATATTCCAGGATACTTGAATTCTACTCCCTGGTACCCTGTTGTCCCACACACTGATGAGCAACAGGTATGACTGGTGAAGGACATATGATGATGATGATGATGATGATGATGATGACGGTGATAACATGTGTGTGTGTAATAAACTTTTCAAGCATACATACTAGTTGGTTTAAGAAATTATATGGTTATGTTTTACGACTATGTTTTCTGTTACAATGGCACACACACACACACACAGTAACACCAGGAGAAGGTGTTGGTAATTATGTATCTCATGAAGATTAGGAACCCTATTTTGCACTTGATGATTGAACACCTTAACGTTAAATAGGGGGGATAAGGTTATGTAAGGTTAGGTTAGCAAAGTTACCTAATCAATATAGTACAGGCAGCCAGACAGAGTATATTACAGCAGCCAGGTAATGTACAGTGTAGCAGACAGGCGAAATAATGAGGTTACAGAAAACGATTACGATTGAGCAAACGCCATATTTTTTTTGTAATTTATTAATACTATAGATGAGTAAATTGAGAGTTTGGGGTTGGCGCCGTGTGTGACCTCCCCCCAGGTACAGTTTATAAACCACTTGATAAATCTTGCCGAAAATTGCAATGTTAATTCATCATTTTATTAGATGATTGAGGCGTCAAACAACAAATCCAAGGTACTACAAATAACTAAATTATCTTCCTCTCAAAAAAAGCTTTTGTGTGTTGCCGTAAAATAAATTAATATCCCTTACCTTCATCTTTAAATAAACTTTACATATAATTTATACAAAAATACATATGAACTTATTATCTTCATCTGAAAATAAAGTTTACATCTGAAAAAAATAGCTTTGTGTGGGACTAGAATTAATGATCTTACCTCCAGCTGAAAAATAAACACTACTCTACCCCCATAAAACAGTGTTAGTTAAACATTTAATTAAACCTAGACATTGTAACCTAACCTAACCAGACCTAACCTAACCCAACCCAACGTGCAATAAAATAAATATAAAATAAATACTCCCGGATAAATCAAGGCTTAGTATTTAAACTTTATCTCTACTTTATAAAACTAGTAATGATTTTGGTACGTGAGAAAGGTGTTATTCAGTGTGACCCTCACTACAGGTTTCCCGGTCCTGGTTTCTTCCTGTACTAACACTGGATAGACCGCCTAAATGGCTAGTAAGGGCTAGTAAGCTGATAAATGGTGAATAAGATAAAAAATAACTTAGTGTACTCACCTCTCCGGGGTCGCTGCCTTCAGGTGCACTTATCAACGCTGTTTTTCACACTTTTAATAATGTAATTGACATTATCCTCATCAACAAGTTCTAGGTTTTCAAAATAATCACCACAAATCACCAGGTAGTTTGTTTCCACCACCAGCCTGGCTCACGGTGCTGTTCAATAACACTATCTTCTGTTTAATTAACTTTCTGGTCTTTCCACAGATTAAACTTCAACTCGAAACTTTGTACAAAGAATCTTCCTGCACTATCTTGATGAACAAATGTCAGAGAAGCCCGCACAGGAGTAAATTTAAACGGAATTGTTGCCTGTCAGTCTGGTACAGTTAACAATGAGTGACATACATAACTATACAGTGTTCTCAGGTCAAATTTTCCCAGCTCGCGAAATTACGCCAAAAGTTGCCAAATTCTCGCCTAGTTTCTCACAAAATTATCAATATATTATTATAGTTCATATCAAATTACAAGCATTGTGCTCTTTATTTATTTAATATTTACGGCTCTGAATTGTTTTTTTTTATATAAGCCTGCAGGTGTGAGTTCATCTTTGCTAATATTTTCATAATTTTATTCACAAGTAAACCAAAAAATACTGGAATTGAAAACTAATGTAATGCTGGAATACGGAATACGTCTCTATACTAAAATAATAACAATAATAATAATTTGAAGCTAGCCAAAGAACACCACACCCGCCACCTTCAATATTGCCTCGTTAAACTTAGAAAAAATAGCCAAATTTAGTGGTAAACAGCCATATCTGGGAACACTGTTTGACAGAATTGGCTCAGAAAACGAGCTGTTACTTACTTACCGACATGACTAATTTTGCCATCTGAAGTTTATATTTATGTTAGTCTACAATAAAGTAAGTGAAAAGGTAAATAAATAAATGAATTAATATACTATATACAGTATCATAGACAATTTGTCGTAACTAGTGTTCGTATCACAAAAATAATCGCTACAATGCCGCGATCTTAGAGCGGCATAAACTATCTAATGAAACAGTCATCTTAAATTGTGGTTGTCTGGTTGAATAACAATGATAGTAATTATGCTACAGTTAATCATTTTATATGGCCTTTCGTGTTTCGTGTTTCGTGTTGTATTATTAATACAATAAAGGGTGAAATAGGAACTGAGTTTGCATGGGTAGAAATTACGGAAGGAAGAGGAAAACTAATTATGGGAGTGATTTACAGACCCCCCAACTGTTGGGAAAGAAGCAGCTCAGCCCATATGGCAGGAAATGAGTAGGGCAGCAAGATACAACAACCTGTGCATTATGGGGGATTTCAACTTCAGAAATATTGACTGGGACAACATTGGAGGTGACTATGAATCTGAAGACTTCCTACAGTAGATGCAGTACAGGATTTTTTTTAAGAACTAATTACAGAACCTACTAGAGGTGACAATATATTAGACCTAGTATTAACATATAAAGAAAATATTATCAGAGATATTACAATAGAGGAAGAACTAGGGAACAGTGATCACAGAGAAATCAGGTTTACCCTAAATTGTGAAACGAAAAATAATGACAATATTACCACCCCGTTCCAGGACATGGGTCCAAATATCAAATACCTTGAACAATTGTGTTGTCCTGGCCACCATACCCTCCTTGTTTGTTATGATGAGGTCTAGTGGCTTGGGTGTTTGCTCCCCTCTGTTATGTGTCGGGTCTTTAACACGTTGAAATAGAAAATTATCTCTCAGAGTTTCTATAAAAAAAGTAGCAGGGTTATTCAGGTCAGTTGGGGTGAACTCGTTTCTCCAGTCGATGTCGCCTTAGTTAAAGTCCCCCATGATAAGGAGGTGGCTAGGGTTGAGCATCGCCTCATTTTCTATTAAAGCTCTTAAGTTCCTTTGATTTAGTGGGCCACAGCTTGGAGATCTGTAGATACACCTGACAATAAGTAAGTCCCTTCCCTTTAATTTAATTTTACACCACTTGGAATCTTCAAAAACATCCTCTCCCTGTACCCTCGCCTGGCTGGCTCTAAGGTCTTGCCTATCATAGATAACCACACCCCTCTTGCAAGTTTCTTGAGAAAGGTTCGTAAATGAGTCATATCCAGCAATACTGAAGGTGTAGGTGTTGCCGCAGGATGCTGGAAGAGGTCCCACGATGTCGAGGTGCACTACCTTGAAGCGTCCTTTGACTACAGAAAAGGTTTCTAAGGGAGCCCGTGTGTGTCGATGTATCTTAGAGGACTGGCAGGCCAGGCACTGGACAGCCCATTTCCGAGTATCAGCCTTGATGCCGGGCCAGACAACACGTTGCGTGAGAAGGCGCTGGGAGGCCCGTACACCTGGGTGGCTGAGACCATGGATGCGGTCAGTGACATGCAGCGGCGAGCGTGAAGTGACGGAGGTTGTGGCGTTTACCAACCCTCGTCGACGTCGCTTCCTCGTGAAGTTGCAGGGAGCCTCACAGCGTCTAGCATTAGCACCAAAACGTTGATGGTACCAACAGAAGGTAGGTACACTGTGCTGGGGGCTGGCGGATTAGTCTGAGGCAGGAATGGGCTGTCGGGGTCGGTAGGACACAGTGCGTGGGTCAGGGGCAGGATCAGCAGCAGACTTGGAGGAGTAGAGCTGCTCGAGGGTGTCCATCCTGCGGTGTAGAGACTGTAGCAGGTCCCTCATGTCTTGTTTGTCTGGTGGAATGTTACTTCTCTGAGGAGCGTTGATCTGGTTGACGAGACCGGAGCTAAGTGATGGTGTAGCCACTGAGTTGTCGCGGCAGCATGGCGCACAGCAGTGTATTCATTGTAGTGGATACTCGCCCCTATACTACCACCTCCATTCTATCGGCTACTTCCTTAGTCTTGGCAAGGATCTCTCTCCCAACTTGTTCAAGTTTGGCAACCAGCAAGGATCCAGGTTCATCTAATTTCGTCCCTAGGGAACTCGTTCCCTTATAGCTTACAATCGCCTCGTACACCTTGACTATGCAGTCAGGGCAATACCAGCAACAGCCTTCATGCTTTACGGCAACTTGTATCGTCCTAGACTCCTTATTTTCTTATTCTTATGTTCTTATGTTATCCAGTCAACCAGTCATGTCATACAGTCAGTCATGTTATCCAGTCAGGCAGTCATTCAAGTTGACATATTTGTACCGTAGCTTAAAGTGAATTAGATAGATCGGTGTATTTCTAAATAAACAATGAAATCAAGACTTCACTTAAAATCTCATACAATATTTGATTATTAATACATCATAAAGCAACAATGTTATATGCGTACATTGTCGATTCATACATTCAGGTATACATTAGATACATACAAATTTTACATGGATACGTACATATACTGTATATATACACATTATATCAGCAACAAATGTATAAAAGAAACTGATTATAAATGAATATTAATGTTATATTTTTTTTATTTTTACTTCAGAGAGAGAGAGAGAGAGAGAGAGAGAGAGAGAGAGAGAGAGAGAGAGAGGACTTCCGGCTTTATCAACAATAACACAACAACACATCTATTTACCATAACATCAGACAAACACGGATATCTTAGTTCCTCTCTCGTCAACATCCTATTTGCTTCCATTTTCTCTGCATTGGTAACAAAAACCACAGAAGATGGAGAGATATGGGACTAAAATATTTCCTCCCTGTGTGTCTGTACGTATCAGTGTCGCGTTCATTTAGTCTTCAGAGATCCGTAAGTCAAGACCCAGTACCTGTGATTCCTCAATATACACGTAGGTCACAATATTTGTTCGGATATATACCTGAAAGTTTTATATTAATTAACTTATATACCTGTGAGTATTATCAGAGATGCCGCAATGGAACATCTAATACGAAACAATCTTGTAAAGGATTGCCAACATGGTTTTATGCCGGGGCGCTCCTGCTTAACACAATTGCTCAAGGTATTGGATATTTGGACCCATATTCTGGAACGGGGTGGTAATATCGACAACATTTACCTAGATTTTGCCAAGGCTTTCGACAGAGTACCCCATGAAAGGCTGGAAATCAAACTGGAAGGGTACGGAATTCGGGGAAATGTCCCAGCATGGATAGAGGATTTTCTACATGACCGCAAGCAGTGTGTGGTGATTAATGGGACGAAATCGTCATCCGTACCTGTCACAAGCGGGGTACCACAGGGCAGTGTATTGGACCCGCTGTTGTTTGTTTGTTTCATAAATGACATGCCTGACGTTGTACACTCCTCCATACAAATATTTGCCGATGACGCTAAGTTATTTCGGGAATGGTCGAAGGAATGGCTGCTGAGATTCAATGTCACGAAGTGTAAGAGGATGCACCTGGGGCGTACCAACGGTAAGGAGGCGCATCATATGTCCCAGCGGGATGAAGAAACTGCACTAGTTGAGACTGTATGTGAGAAGGACCAAGGTGTGTATGTTGACAATGAGCTGAAGTTCTCGGGCCATTGTGAGAAGAAGGTAAATCAGGCAAATAAATTGTTGGGTCTTATAAGAAGGTCGTTAAGATATCTAGACGGTCCGTCCCTCGTAACGATCTTCAAGAGTGAAGTGCTTCCCCATCTGGAGTACTGTCACCCCGTCTGGTCCCCGAGATATGCTCGGGACTGTCAGTTGGTTGAAAATGTTCAAAGGAGGGCCACCAGACTGGTGCCTGCACTTCGGCACCTCAGCTACCCTGAGAGATTGGAGAGCCTGAACTTGCCTAGCTTATACTACAGACGGGCAAGGGGGGACCTAGTTGAGGTGTATAAGCATCTCAGAGGGCACTACTCAGTTGAGTGTCCTTACTTGGAGCTGGCGGACGCTCGCCCCACAAGGGGTCACAGCTCAAGATTGAAGAAGCCGCAAGTCCAGAAAACTGTGAGGGCAAACCTTTTCGGAGTGAGGGTTGTAAACTCTTGGAACAATCTACCAGAGAGTGTTGTGACGGCACCGAGTGTGAGCTCTTTCAAGACAAGACTTGACCAACACTGGAGCGGGTTCAGGTACATTCAGGAGCCGGTGCATGCCCAGTATTTGCCAACAGTGCGTGGCAGAGACGTGACCGATCGCCCAAGCGGCTAACAAGCCGATCAGTGGCGAAGAGGATAACAGTATATAAATTAACATAAATGCCTGTAAATCGTATAGTTAACATTAATACACACATAGGAAGGCCATTAAAAAATAACATCATATTTTACACTTCAGATCTTACCAAAACGCTGGACAATTAATATAACACCGAATTAAAACAAAAGAATATCACTACAAGATGTTAATAGGTTAATTTAGCATTTTATCTTGAAGTTAAGCGGTCAGGTATATTCTCACGTCTATATGGCAACGCCAGCCACCAACGGCGATCATAGCCTGTGTGTGTTTGTGTCATAATCATTTACATCATTAACCTTTCCTTTCAGTGCTAGTATGTGGTGGTGTGTAGTGACGTGTGGTGCTCCTCGTCCTTCAACCAGCATGACCCTCTGCCTCGTCCTACTCCTCATCCCCTTCCTCCGCCCTCTACCGTTGGAAGTCCTCTCCTCTCCTGAATTAGTCTCCGGTAAGTGAACGATAATTTAACCCTTTGATGATGATGATGATGATGGTGATGGTTGAACCCTTAGGGGGCGAGTTTAACTCTTTAAGGACGGGTACTATTCTGTTAGTATAATGACGTCATCCTCTGAACTATCGCTATTTGTTATGCCTTCATCCTCCAGATTGTGTCGAGAGAGCTGAGACTTCACTAAACATGGCATCTCGTGATATTCTAAAGAGCTCTGAAATCATCTTTGGTGTGGAACCTGCCAATTCGTCCTTCATCTGTAAGGTTGAGCTCAAGCCTGAAAAGGACTCCCCCCTCTCCTCCAGCCTAACAGTAGACATCATCCACAATAACTCAGATGTCGTCTCGGTGACTGAGAGTGAGGTGACCAAAAATTATTCACTATGCTGGCCATCTCAATCTGCTTTCTCTAGACTCGATTACTTTATCAGGCTGATGGACGGCAGACAGATGAAGGTCGGGATAAACAGTTTCTCGGATAATCCCTGCACCATCATGCTACGTAAGGAAATCACCAGGGACTTCAGGGCGACGATAACATCAGAGCAGAATGTCACCTTCTACGAGGTGCCGTGTAAGAATGTTGGTAAGTACTGAGCGTGTGTGTGTGTGTGTGTGTGTGTGTGTGTGTGTGTGTGTGTATTTTCCTTGTAGAAAATCCCTCAAAATAGTTTAATTCATGCCGAGGTTTTAATTTTTCTCTATACAGTTCATTACAATATAATAATTCCTGTACATGTGTAGTATAAAGGAATTAAGTGGAGAATCTCCCACAACCATCCAGCTTATTTCACCTAAAGATTAGTACTACTTGGGGGGATGAGGTTAGGTTAGGTTAACGTTAGGGTGGTTAATGTTAAGGTGAAATAAACTGGGGTGGAGATTCTACTGTACACTTGACACCCAAAAATATATTCAAACCCACATAAATAATGGAACCCCATTAACGAAACAGACGAGAGATACAATGTTTGTATACGTGACTTCAACAGATCTCAACCTGACGAACACCGCTATTCTCCCTACAGAGGTGTCCACGCCGACTCCGACACAGAATTACTTAAGCTTAAAGCATCTCTATAGCGGTTTGGTCGGTTTCGTCATCCTTCTGCTGTTCCTCGTGTTCTGTTGGTATATACGACGCCTAATACACCCACACCCACCTACTGGGCCGCCCACACAAGCCGACAACTCAACTTCTCCCTCAGGGCCGAACCAATCAACAACTCACGACCTCATGGACAGCTTGGGCTCTAACCCGTTGAGCAACTTCTCTAGCTACGACTCCGTACCTCAGGAGCAAACCGCAAGGGAGCCCCTAGACAAAGAAAGTGTCAAGAATTGGTCCCAAATGTCAAGAATGGGCGAGGGCCCCGTATCAGAGCCACCACCACCATACACACGTGAGGTCCACTGGGAGACCCCTTCACTGAGACATCACAACAACAACGATGACGAGACCACGTACGAGAGAGCTACCTTCTGGTGGGGAACCTAGTGATGATAGAAAGGCTCTGAATATCGTTAAGATTCCCTAGAACACAATGAATTCCTTAACTAGTGCCAATTGAGACCCTCTCGAGTAAAAATAATCCACCATAGAAAATGTTTTATGACAAACTACACTAAATTCTAGCACACGCATATATTTTGGCGGAGTGAGTTAAGAAGTTTGTTATCCTTCACTGTTTTGTTCTGAATTATAGTTGTATCTTACTGTACAAGCTACAGCAACTAAAGCATAGTTTGTTGAATAAAAGAGTTAATAGGTAAGCAAAGTTTCCCTGACCTGTGTTTGAGGGTGTGACAACAGGTGATAAACTCAAAAATAAAATAAACTAACGTCTAGGCTCCTGCTTCTCTAACCTATTCCAATCTATCTAAAACTATCCTAACTCAACATATCCCAACCTAACCAAAACTAACCTAATTGAACATATCCAAACTTACCCAACCTTAATGTATTACCTTAAGGTTTGGTTAGGTTAAATTTGGTAAGATTAGGTACGATAGTTTAGGTTGGTTCAGCGTATGTCGTATGTAAAAAAACAAATTGACAATCGAAACATTATTTTTTCTTCTTTTTAGCCTATTTTTCGATGACTTGTTAGTGGGTAGGGCATGAAAGAGGGAAATAACTGAGCAAAAACACTACTAGTTTTTGTTAACATGTCAAGAAATGAACAACCATTTCATCCGGTGTTTTAATTATGATTTGTATTGGATTGAATTCGTTCATTTGTATCCAGAGATGTTGTTTGGATGAAATAAAATCGAAACGGCAATGTACAGAACCTATTAGAACTTGACCTAACCTAACCTCACTTAACTTCCTAGCCTGTACATTATCACTCAAATAACATCTGAAAATTTGTTGCAATTTCATAAAGCCCTTCTGGTGCTAACCGTCTACTCCACCACTGAGGCAGATACATCAATCAACATACCTACAGGAGCCATGTGCGCCCATACTGGAGAACCATCACCACTGCAGGCAAAGGGACGCCGTACAGTACACGTTCGTCTGGTAATAGTGTCACCCTGGCCCTGTGGTTCGCACGTACTGGGCGGAACTAACAGAAAACGACGTTAAAGTTGTATAAAAGAAAACATAAAATTAAACTATTTCTGCATACAACATAAAATGGCGTATTATTCCTATCAATTAAAAATGTAATATGATATTGTTTTGCTGCGAACTTTGCAAAATATAACTTTAATACTAGATATTTCTGTTAATTAATATCTGGAGTTATTATTTGTATTAGCGTGTATAAAATGAAACATTCAGTCATAATAATACGGCCAAATTAATTAGTCAGAGCTGCATTTTTTTTAATTTACATATCAAAAGTCTTCCTCAGTGAGCAGTACACTTTAATATGGTAATGATTGTTATTAGATAGAGTCATCCTAACTTGAAGCTCATGTAAAGATATTATTACTGTATTATTATTATGATCATGATTTTTGTAATTATTTTTTGCGGGGATTAGCCCACCCAGGCACAGGTCATCAACCCACATCAGGGCCTAGGGGGAGGGGACAATGAACCCAAAATACAGAAATGAAAAAAAAAATCAAGAGTGTTGTCAGAGTAAGAGAAACAATTAAGACTACAATTGTGTGTAAGTGAGGCAGAAAGTCAGATCATCAACCTGGGACATGGTCACATATGGCAGCAGGGTCTACCATTAGACAACACATTATGCTTCCAATATCTTCCCAGGCGGTAGTACCTCACTGACGTATAGCATGACTGACAAGTGACACATATTTAAGTTACTTTCCGTGTGCACGATTTAATTTCGTAACGAGAGGTGTGTGAAACCTATAGTAAGACGAGTATATGGTGTAGGTGAGTGGTAAGACGTGGGGAGGAGGTGTTAGGAATGAAGGTGATGAATGATGATGAAGTTTACCTATAGAGAACTTTGAAGAACAGGTGGCATGGTAAAGACTAATGTGTGTGTGTGTGTGTGTGTGTGTGTGTGTGTGTGTGTGTGTGTGTGTTCCCACGGTCGCTGTAGAAGGTAACACGTTATACAGAGGGAAATGAAACAACGAACAAAAGAAAGGAAGAATAAAACAATTTTATTTTATTTAGTAAGAAGTTAAGGTGGAGACCAAACACCTCTGAAGTATCATACTCTTTATTTCTATATTACCAATTAAATGAAGTATAAAGATTTACTAACAATAATATGTATCAGGTATCTTTAATGACAGGTGTGTGTGTGTGTGTGTGTGTGTGTGTGTGTGAAGTTAATTGTGTACTTGGAAGGTATCAGGGGTAAAGTATTTGTTTATGTTATGTATGTATGTATGTATGTATGTATGTATGTATGTGTTATTGTGTATGTACTGTATGTATGTGTGCATGTACAGCACATAAGTACACATGTACAGAATGTAAGTACAGTACGGGAAGAATTACACAATTACTCATCTACACTAAAATATATAATATATATATATATATATATAACCACTGAACATACATACAGGCAGACAGACAGACAGACAGACAGACCTCTCTCTCTCACACACACATACATTAAAAGAACAACATCAACATCAACAATAATAATAATAATAATAATAATAATGACACCATCATTATCTGACATTAATATACAAAATAAATTATAAGAACAAAACATTATAAGAGTCACAATAATAATATATCATATAGTCAACAGGTAAACACGATTCATCCTTTATATAGAAATCCTAATATGTTCTAACTATACACTGTGGGTGGGGAGGTGAGGTCAAAGGTCACCTCACATCATCATCATCATATACACATCCTGTTGAAAGAGGAGGGGTAGAGGGGGGGGGAGGAAGGAAGGGGAAAGAAGGAAAGAAAAGGAAGGGAAGAGGAAAGAAGGAAGGGAGGAAGATAAGGGAAGGGCAGAAGGAAAGGTAAGTGAAGAGAAGAGGAAAAAAATGGAGGAAAGGAAATGAAGGGAAGGAAGAAAAGAGGGAAAGAAAGGGAGAAAGAAAAGGGTAAAAAAAAGGGGTTAGAGAGTGGAAAAGGTCACGAAAGAGGATGACTAAAAAAAAGTTATCAAATGAATAGAAATAAAGGAAAAAAAAATCACCTTAATTAACCTGATCTCATGAAGGCAGAAAGAAATAACATGTAGGTCAATAAAGCCGAGATTCCAGAGCCGAGGAACGTGATTACCGTCTTAGTCAACGTCCTGCTATTTCAAAGGAGGACTTGAACCAGCTGTCGAGAGAGGGGGGGGGGGGAATACAGTGCTATGCTTAACTCCATATACAATATTGCACGTTTAGTTTGTAGTTAATTTTTACAGTAGATGGTTCCGTTTTGTAGATGTTTGCCCTCTCTCTCTCTACACCCGACTATCTCTCTCTCTCTCCTACCCGACTCTCCTCTCTCCCTACACCCAACTCTCTCTCTCTCCTACACCCGACTCTCTCTCTCTCTCTCTCCTACACCGACTCTCTCTCTCTCCTGCACACCTGACTCTCTCTCCTCTCACACCCGACTCTCTCTCCCTCTCTCTCCTAGACCCGACTCTCTCCTCTCTCTCTCCTCTCCCTACACCCGACTCTCTCTCTCTCTCTCTCTCTCTCTCCCCACACCCGACTCTTTCTCTCGTCTCACCTAAGAACGTCTCGTAAGTTAATTTAGATAAGCTCAACTAAGATAAGATGGACAGGTAAATATCTTATCTTCGTGAGGAGGAAGGAGGAGGAGGAGGAGGAGGAGGAGGAGGAGGAGGAGGAGGAGGAAGGAGGAGGAGGAGGAGGAGGAGAGGTGGAAGGAAGGGGATACTGGATAGGTGGTGAGAGAGAGAAGAAGTAAGGGAAGAGGAGGGAGGAGGAGGAGGAGGAAGAGAGGAGGAGGAGGAGGAGGAGTAGACAAAGAGAGAAAGAGAGAGGAAGGAAGAGGAGGGGGAGGAGGAGGAGGAGGAGGAGGAGGAGGAAGAACAGGTGGGAGGGACAACTCATGTAAACAGAGAGTGACAGCACCGTCATCCTCCTCTCCGCTGACACCCGGACACACCAGCCGCCGCCTCATCATTAGTACCTCACGGAGAACATCTTCCCTCTGGTGGTGTTCTGTGTTCTCCAGCAGACACTTGCGATCAGAGAGAACACCTGAGAACGTACCTAGAGGAGGGCCATCACCTGGGGGTTCATTAGTATGCTCCGAGATAGGTAAATGGGTTATGGTTTCGTCAGTTTCTGTAGGATGGGTTGTATCTGCGACAGTCCGATCTTCTTTTGTTTTTCTTGTTATTTCCATCACTTCATTTCCTTTGATTATAACGTTTTTACTCTCTCTGTCTATTATTGATATTCTTAGATCTGGTTTTCCCTCTGTTGTTGATTTTAAGACGTGTTGTGGAGCTTCAGTCCCAGCGTCTCTGTCGTGTGTGCTGGAGATGAAAGAATTCCTTGTCTGATTTTCATCTTCTATTCTCACTTGAAGCTTCCCTGAGACCCACCAAAAGACAGGTCTCTCAATCTTCTTTAACACAGGTCTTCTAAGCTTCGTAAGACCGTGGTAAGAGGGCACTGCTGAGAGTACCGGAGAGTTTAGAGTGTCATTGAGTACTAAGGACTCTTCCTCCGTCTTGGTTTGATTGGAAATTCCCGATGAAGATTTACGATAGATGCAGCGTCGATGTCTTGCCTTAGTAAACTGCGGGACAGAAGACGCGCTGCGGGTGGGAGCTTCACCTGCCACTGAAGACTTGGTACCTGTTGTTGGTGTACTTGTAGAGGTGGCATGTAATTCCTGGAGGTGTTTTATCCTGGTGTTCTGTGATAGTTTGTGTTGACGTGGTGAGTGTCCCAGGAGAGTCGGATCAGGTGCTTGGGGTTGTACAGGATGTGAATGGTGATTTTGGTGTTCTGGAAGTGCTGGATCTTGACCACGGTGTTCTGAAGACTTCACAGACTGTAGTTGATGGTCCTGGTGTTCTATAAGCGCTGGATCATTAACTCGGTGTTCTAAAAGCAGTGGATCATCTTCCTGGTGTTCTAAAGACTGTAGTTCAAGTTCTCGGTGTTCTACAAGCACAGGGTCGTGCCCCGGGTCTCGTGTGGACACCCTAAACGTGTACTCGCGAGGAATGGACTTGACTGCTACGTATCCTGATTCTAAAACGACCTTGGACGCAACGCTGACGTCCTGAACTCCCGTCTGTTTACGCCTGGGGGAGGTGAGGGCGCTCATAGGGTGAGAGGAACTGCCAGAAGGAGGGTAGGTATGAGGAAGGGCGAGGGAGAGATGAGGGAGTCCGCGGTGTCCATGATGAACCTTGGACGCAACACTGACGTCCTCAAGTCCCGCCTCTCTGCGCCAAGGGGTGGTTAGGGCGCCCTCAGGATGAAAGGGACCGCCAGCATAAGAGCGGAAAGGAAGGGCGAAGGATATATGAGAGGAGCAGCGGCGGTGGAGCCACACTCGAGGTCAGTCTTGAGGGCCTCCATGATAGACTTGTCCTTCTTGTTACTACAGGGTGTCTGACGGAGGCGGTGCACTGTGTCCTGGCAGCGTAGGTACTCCTCCAGGCGACCCTTGTCAACACACACAGACTGGCGCCACTTCTTCAGCCAACCTTCAATCCATCTGTAAGGCGGAGATAACACTCATAAGACCACACGGGAACACATCATAACTAACTCACGCCAGCTAGACCACACAGATACCAACCAACATGACGTAACAGTAACAATGAGACTCTACACGACTATAAGAGGTTTAACTCTCTAGTGCTGGGGGAAAGAGTCAAATATACCAATATCACATCAGGATTGTAAGAGATTCGTAAATTAAATTGTTCTGGTAAATATAGATGGACCTTTGCACTAAGTGATTAACAGAAGCTGAAATACTTAACAAATACTATAACAAATATTTAAATTAATTAGAGGTGAGTTTTTAACACCGACTAAGGAAAAAAAACACAAATATTTGATTACCTGAACACTACTAATTAAATTTTGATGTCAGGTAAACTTAGTGTCTACCACACGGCCTTAGCATACCCCTGGTGACCTTAACATAACCCATAGATGACCTCAATATATCCCTGGTGACCTAACATACCCTAAGAATATACCCTGGTGACCTTAATATACCCCTAGTAACCTAACATACTTATAATGACCTCTCAAGTACTCCTGAATATACCCAAAGTGACCTGTCATACCCTCCACCCCCCGTCTGGAGACATACCCAATGCCACAGTCACAGTTCCAGTTGTTGTTGTGCATGCGGAGGTCAGTGAGGAAGACTGAGTGAGGGGCCCCAGGGTAGCCGGTGGTCGAGGGCTCACCAAGCTTCTTCATGGAGTTGTTCAGCGCTGCCACCGCCACGAACCTGGAACACCGAGAGGTTATTACGTCGGTTTCTGGGGTTTGTTTGGGGTTTAAGAGGTTTGTTTGGGGTTTAAGAGGTTTATTTGGGTGGGGTTATGGGGGCTTACAAGGGTTTTAGGGGTTTAAGTGGGGATTATTGGGGGTTTGTTGGAGATTTCTGAGGGTTGTTGGGGGGTTTCTTGGGTTTCTTGGGGTTTTAGGGGTTAATTAGGGGTTTGGGGGATTTCTGGGGGGTAGTTTGGGATTTACGGGGCATTATTGGGGGTTTCTGAGGTTTATTGAAGGTTGTTATGAATTTGGGGGGTTTCTGGGGGTTTAAGGGGCATTATTGGGGGTTTCTGTGGTTGCTTAATCAGTTCAGTTATCACCTTTAAGCTACAGGTAATGACTGTACCTGTAATATATATCTACATATTGCACCTGTACTAAAAACTTATATAATCTAAACCAATATAAAACCTTCCTTATATGACGCCCTATGAGCCTAATAACTAAGTCAAACCTACATATAGAAACACATTATAGATTCATATACACAAATATAATCATCTATATATAAATGAACCCCGCCCCCCCCAAAAAAATAGTAATTGACATTTAAACATTCGATAAAAAGTTAAGTTTCCGTGATGGAGTTTTAATGAGTTGTATAAGGCAGGTAAACAGCTGGGCCACAAAATGTCAACTTTTCACGTGTACCTGGCTCCCTGTGTCAACATTAATTATATAGTGATAAAAAGTTTCGATTCTTTTTTTTCTTCTTATTTTATACGTTTGGGGTGTGTGTGTGTAGTAGTAGTAGTAGTAATAGTAGGATAATAGTAGTAATAGTGTAATAGTAGTAGTGCTGTACAATATAAGTATGGTGAGGTAATGAGAGAGAGAGAGAGAGAGAGCTACTCACTTGACACGTCCTAGGTTCTTGAACACGTCACTCGGCACCTCCTCCATCCGTGTGTGGTAGAAGGTAAGCTGTAGTTCTCTGGCCCGTAGTTCCTGCACACACACACGGGGTAGAAGTGATTTTTTGGTTAATTTTGTCAACGTGCAGTATTCATTATTACTATTATTATTATTAGTATTATTATTATTATTAATGTGATTATTCCCACCTTTTCATTATTACCATCAACATTATCAGTCATCATTATCAGTCATCATCATTAATATCATTATCAATATCAGTATCACCAACACCACCCCACACCACCCCCACCACCACTACCACCCTCCACAACCACAATTATCTTCCCCCTCCCACACCCCACCATTAACCTTCTCCACCACCACCATCCCCACCTCCCACACACCTCTAACACCCCCCACCATCACCACCACCACTCACCTGCAGAGCTGTGGGGGAGATCTTCCTCATTCGTGGCCCCATCAAAGTAATGTTGGTGAGACGGTAAGGCAGTTCATATCTCAGTAATTCCTTTGACAGTGTTCCGTCCACCTGTAAAATTGTGTCCGTCTATTAGTGACTCTTTTACATCTTAAGACATTTTTACAGCATCTTAAGACTTTTTTTTACAGCAGCTTAAGACTTTTTTACAGCATCTTAAGACTTTTTTTTACAGCAGCTTAAGATTTTTGTATAAATCTTAAGACTTTTTTTTACAACATTTTAAGATTTTTTGTTTAAACCATATTAAAACCTTCTACATCACATTGCATTTTTACATATTGACTTTTTTTCAAGATCTTAAGACTTTTTTTTACACTTTTTTACAACATCTAAACATTTTTTTCACATCATCCTAAGACTTTTTTAGCAACACCTTAACCCTCTCACCGCGTGTCACGCACTTGCCATTTTATTCTGGCTACCGCTAGACGATTTTATTCAGCTTAGGGTAACCTCCCGCTGTGAAAGGTTTAAGACTTTTTGTACAACATCTTAACACACTCTACCACCTCCCAACACACTCTACCACCTCCCAACACACTCTACCACCTCTCAACACACTCTACCACCTCTCAACACACTCTACCACCTCCCAACATACTCTACCACCTCTCAACACACTCTACCACCTCTCTACACACTCTACCACCTCTCAACACACTCTACCACCTCTCTACACACTCTACCACCTCTCAACAACTCTACCACCTCTCAACACACCACCTCTACCACCTCTCTACACACTCTACCACCTCCCAACATACTCTACCACCTCTCAACACACTCTACCACCTCTCTACACACTCTACCACCTCTCAACACACTCTACCACCTCTCAACACACTCTACCACCTCTCAACACACTCTACCACCTCTCAACACACTCTACCACCTTTCAACACACTCTCCTTACACCTTACTGGAGGAGAGATAATAATGGTGAAATACGACTGAAGGGAAACTGCAGGACAGAGGTCAAGCATACCTGGAGATCGACCCTAACTAGAGGTCGACTTTACCTGGAGGTCGACCTTACCTGATGGTCGACCTTACCTGGAGGTTGACCTTACTTGGAGGTCGACCTTAGCTGGGGGTCGACCTTACCTCGAGGTTGAGCTCCTGTAGGGACGGCACGTTGTGGAGAGCCTTGGCCAAGTTGAACCTCGGCATGTTGGGGTTTGTGGTGATGTAGAGGCGACGGAGGCAGGGCATCGTACTGAAGCAGCCAGCCTGTAGGAGTAGCAGACGATGAGAGAGAGAGAGAGAGAGAGAGAGAGAGAGAGAGATTTTACAATACACAGATCACTTCTCATATTCACTCTACCATAAGTAAACAAATATGACCCACAAATCCCTATCATAAACCCCCTCTGCCTCCCTCCCTCATTCTCCCTCCTTCCCTCTCTCTCCCTCCCTCCCTCTCTCTCCCTCCTTCCCTCTCTCCTTCTCCCTCCCCCTCACTATCATTATATCCCACTCATAAATCACCTCATGTTACATTAAAGTCACCAGAAACAGCCCACTCACTCCTACACTGTGATATCCTCCCCACTCACACCCATAACACTCCCACTACCCCTCTCTCCTTCCCACTCACCATCCCAAATCCTCCCACACCCCATACCCTCCCACACACCCCACCCACACACCTCCCACTCACCTCAAAGACTTGGAAGGGTAAATCACGAATGTCAAGCACCTCCAAGCGTTCCAGACCACCGAAGGACATGTTGGTCAAAGAGCGCATCGGGTTGTTCTGCATGTATAGTTCTCTGAGGCGAGGTAACATTTGCCAGGCGCTGTTGGCTGGGATAGGTAACTCGTTGTAAGAGATATCCAACACTCTGTAGGGTAGAGGAGGGAGATAGTGAGAGACCTTGTTTGAGAGATATTATGAGAGAGAGAGAGAGAGAGACCTTATTTGAGAGATATTGTGAGGTAGAGAAAGACACGGAGAGAAACATTGCTTGAGACATATTTGGGGGTAGAGAGAGAGAGATAGAGAGATAAAGGGAGAGATAATATAAAGACAATTTAGATCTATTCTCTACACAGTTATATACGAGAGATATTTACAAGAGACAGTTATTTACAAGAGACATTTACAAGAGACACTTATTTACAAGAGACATTTACAAGAGACACCTTACTTTACAAGACGACATTGATAGCCAAGGTATAAATTCCAGAGTTCACATTCCTAAGAGGTTCCATTCCTACGTCACCTAAACTAATCTTAACCTAGCTTTGGTTAGGTTAGGTTAAGGTTTGGTTAAGGTTAGGTTAGGTTAGGTTAGGTAAGGTTAGGTTAAGGTTAAGGTTAGGTTAGGTTAGGGTTAGGTTAGGTTAGGTTAAGGTTAGGTTAAGGTTAAGGTTAGGTTAGGTTAGGTTAAGGTTAGGTTAGGTTAGGTTAAGGTTAGGTTAGGTTAAGGTTAGGTTAAGGTTAGGTTAGGGTAAGTGCATTCTTCCGTCGTCTGTTACAAGGGACATTTATGTTAAGAACCTCTGAGAACGGAGACACGGGAACTCACCTGACAGTGTTACCGTGAGCGGGGCCGCCCCTTGAGGTGTGTCTTTGATATAGAGTGAACGACAGAAAAATACAAGACGGCTTCATGAGGGTCTTGATGATGTTGTTGAGGAGGAGGTGGAAGGGGGGAGGAGGAGAGGAAGAGGTGGAAAGGAGGAAGAGGTGGAAGGGGGGAGGAGGAGAGGAAGAGGTGGAAGGGAGGGAGGAGGAGAGGAAGAGGAGGAAGGGACATTTATGTTAAGAACCTCTGAGAACGGAGACACGGGAACTCACCTGACAGTGTTACCGTGAGCGGGGCCGCCCCTTGAGGTGTGTCTTTGATATAGAGTGAACGACAGAAAAATACAAGACGGCTTCATGAGGGTCTTGATGATGTTGTTGAGGAGGAGGTGGAAGGGGGGAGGAGGAGAGGAAGAGGTGGAAAGGAGGAAGAGGTGGAAGGGGGGAGGAGGAGAGGAAGAGGTAGAAGGGAGTGAGGAGGAGAGGAAGAGGTGGAAGGGAGGGAGGAGGAGAGGAAGAGATGGAAGGGAGGGAGGAGGAGAGGAAGAGGTGGAAGGGAGGGAGGAGGAAGGAAGTGATGCAGGAGAAGTTGATTACAGCGCTAGGGAAGAGGAGGACCTATCTGAAGAAGGAAGAGGACCTATCTGAAGGAGGAGGACGTACCTGATGGAGGAGAGGTTAGCCATGGAGACGGAGGGGAGGAAAGACAATATGTTGTGAGAGACGTTGAGATGCATCAGGCGAGGCAGGTCGAAGTCCGGCACAGCGCTGATGGATGTGTTGGCCACACTCAGGTTCATCAGGGAGTTCTGCAGTCCGTCGAACGTGAATCCTTGAAGGTCCTGGGGAAAGTACCGCACATGAGAACGTATAGGGGAAGTACCACACGTTTAGAGAAAGTACCACGTATGAAGAAAGTTCCACACACACACATCTAGGACATTATTTTCATCAATATTTATGAGTCTGTTGTTTACTTTACTCGGGGTACGTGTATTGAGTTTATCATGTACAGTGTATGTTATATAAATTGATTCTTGAGGCGACAACATGAAGAAATGCCCTCGGGCTGGGAGGAGTTTATGTGTCTATAGATTGTAAGGAAAACTAAGTCAGAATGTAATCGCGAGTGTGTTTGTTACCTGTATATAAGACTGGATCAGGACAAGACAGCAAGAAGCAGGACTCACCTTGACGGGGTTGTGAGAGATATCTAGAACTGTGAGGTGCCAAGTACCAAGGAAGGCTCGAGCCTCAATACTCTTGAGATGGTTGTGAGAGACATCGAAAGACACCAGGTTGTCTAAGCGTCCCATTGTGGAGCTTGAGAGGGATGACATCTCGTTGTAGGCCAAGTCGATGAAGCGGAGGGACTCTGCACACCGCTGGAGACTGGCGTCGGGGAACTTGGTGAAGCGGTTATGGCGAGCTTTGAAGATCTCCAGAGGTGCCGACTTAAAGAGGCCTTCAGGGATGCCTCGCAGTTCGTTGAAGGAGACGTCGAAGTGGCGAAGACGTTGATGGTTTTCGAAGAGATTTGTGGGAAGGTCAGCCAAGTTGTTGTGGCTGAAGTCGATGTACTGCAGACGTCGAGTCTCGCGGAAAGCCTCGTGGTCAATCTCCCTAATGTTGTTGTGAGCGAAGTCAAGGAGTTGAAGGTGAGGGAAGTTGGAGAAAATGCTTTTGCTGATGTTCCTCAGATTGTTGTGGTGGAACCAGAGGTGCACGATGGAGGACCTCACTGACGCGAAGTAATCACGTGAGATCCAGCTGATGTTGTTGTGACTAAAGTCGATCATCTTTATACTGGAGTAAGAGTTCCACAAGGAGCCGTTCAGCTTGAGGAAGGGGATGCGGTTGTGGCTGGCGTCGATGGTGAGGGTCGACAGTGTCCCCAACTGGTCGAAGGCATCCAGGTTTAGGTTGTCCATCTCGTTGAAGGACAGGTCGAGGTAGCGCAGTTTAGGCATATTCTGGAAAGCTTCGTAATCTAGACTTCTGATGTTATTACCCTCAAGATCAAGGTGTTCAAGGTTCTCAAGGTTCGAGAATCCGGATCTTTGAATCTTGTTGATCTGATTATCATCAAGATAAAGATACTTCAGGTTCCTGTAATCGTGGAAAGTTTGGGGCTCGATTTTCTTGATGGAGTTGAAAGAGAGTTGGATGGACTCAAGGAAGGGGTGATAATTACCCTGGAAATGGTTACGACTGAGGGAGCTAATCTTGTTGTCCTGAATGTTGAGTTTTCTGAGGCTTCTCATGTAGCGGAAGCACTCGCCGCTGACCTGCGTGAGGGCGTTGTTGCTGAGGTCCAGTTCGCGGAGGTTGACCAGGTACTGCATGGGCTGAGGCGGCAGCTGACTCATCGACAAGCCAGAACTGAAGCGCAGCTCTTCCAGTCCTCCGCCAATATTGACGAAGGCCTCGTTATCAAAGGAGCCAATTCTGTTGTTGGAGAGGTCAAGGATCTTAATGCCGGGGACGTGCTCAAAGGCTTTAGCTGAGATACCTGTGATGCCGTTCTTCATTAGGTAAAGTTTCTCAACGGCGGGACCGAAGCCATCGAAGTCTTCCTTTGAGAGGGACTTGTCTGGAAGAGTACTGAGACCCAGAGTCCGTACATTTCTCATCTCCTTCAGCTTGTCCATCGGGATAGTCCCCATGTTGTCCCCCAACAGGTTGAGGTAAGTAAGGGTGTAGCGGAACCCGTTGAAAGCTTCTGACGGGTCAAGGGACATCTTGTTGTTGCTGAGGGAGAGGGAGCGGAGGGTGTTGAGCTTGTCAAAGGCCTTAGGAGGGATGACAGACAGGTTGTTGTAGCTCAGATCGAGAGTCTCCAGGGTGGAGTCTAAGCCACGGAAGGCGTTGTCAGATATACTCCAGAGATCAGAGTCGTGTAGATACAACTCCTTAATCTTAGCATCCTTGAAGGCATCGTCGCTGATGTGAGTGAGAGGATTCCCTCTTAGGGAGGTCCTGTTAACAGCCCCAAAATTCTGGAAGGAGTATGGAGGAAGAGTCTCGATCTGGTTGAAGTCAAGAACCAGCGTGTCCATGGAGAGCGAACCGGTGAAGAGAACCTCGAAGGGGAGAGTGATGCGGTTCCTGGCCAGATTGAGGGTCTGCAGGTTACGGACGGCAGACATGGACTCGAAGGGGATGGAGGTGAGGAGGTTGTTGCCCAGGTTGACATGGGCCAGGTGACTGGACGACCCCTGTAACACAATCACCAGGTAACATGACTTATGGTGACAACAATGTTCAGATACAACACATAACATGAACAATGGAATGATGTCTATAAGAAACAAACAACAAATACCATGACCTACTGTGACTTGACCTAACCTAACCTAAATAGAGATACAATAACAACTTCAACTTAACCCTTTGACGATGATGATTTAACCCTCTGACGACTACGTTTTAACCCTTTGAAGACTGTTTTAAGAGACTCAACTAAGACAACATAAACTCCTCATCAATTCAGTTATATGTAGATTTCTCTCGTAAATTATTCTTAGATTTCCTTTTGTGTTCAGTTTATCGATACCGCTGATGAGAGAGAGAGAGAGAGAGAGAGAGAGAGAGAGAGAGAGAGAGAGAGAGAGAGAGAGAGTAAAGGGAACGAAGGCTTCATGATCTCAATATACACACTAGTAAATCCTCAGTGCCTGGGTGGGACCTCTGGCTAACACCACCTTTGTGTTAACCATCAAAGACCGACAGCTGGTGGGAACCTTCATGGCCAGCTCACCACCATGACCTGGAAGGCTCTCAGCTGGCTTTAACACTAGTCTATATTTACCAACTGGAAGATCTGGAAATTGCTCAGCCCTTCTTGTTTAATAACCTGGATCTACATACTCAGGGACTTGTATTCTTTAAGGTCTCACTTCATCTTCTGGAACTATTAAGAGCCACTCCATGGAACCCCAAAAGCTACTGGAACTATTATAAGTTTTCCTGGAAAGAACACAAATTACTGGAAATATCTTATACTCTTCTAGAAATCAACGAAGTACTCGAGATACCTCGTACTTCCTGGAATACCTAAGAATTACTGGAGCCAAGAGCTACTGGAATCAACCAAGAATTACTGGAATCAAAACCTACTGGAACCAAGATCTACTGGAACCTAGACCTACTGGAACCAAGATCTACTGGAACCTAGACCTACTGGAACCAAGACCTACTGGAACCAAGACCCACTGGAACCAAGATCTACTGGAACCTAAACCTACTGGAACCTAGACCTACTGGAACCTAGACCTACTGGAACCAAAACCCACTGGAACCAAAACCCACTGGAATTACTTCACTCACCTGGAAAGCCTTTGGGTCGATATGTATAATGTTGTTCCCGTGAAGGTTTATTGTCCTGAGGTTCTGAAGGGAGGTGAAGATTCCCTCAGTCAGTGTGGTGAGGGAGTTCTCCGCCAGTACCAGTGTCTGTAGAGAGTCCTCGTACCCCTCGAAATCCTCAAGTGTCAGGTCCGAGATGTAGTTACCTGTGGAGGACGAGGTGTGGTTAATTATACCTGAAGGAAGGGGGAAAGATGTAGTTAATTACCTGTTAAAGGCTAGGGCGTGGTTAGGTACCCATAAGAAGGACAGTGCACGTAGTTATCATCGGTCCACGTAATTATCATCGGTCCACGTAGTTATCACCTGTGTACATAGTTATTACCTGTGTACGTAGTTATTATCTGTGTACGTAGTTATTACCTGCGCACATAGTTATCACCTAGATAGATAGATAGAGAGATAGATTTGAACAGATGTTTTTTTTATTTTTGTCACTTTCTGCATTTATCTTGAAATACTCCAGACATGACCCCCAGATATGACCACACGTAACCCCCAGAGATGACTCCATATGACCCCAGTAATGGCAGGTGACTCCTTCCCCTTGAAGAACAATTAGAAAGTTTGTTGAGGTTTGGCTTAAGTTATGGTAACAGGTAAATGAGAGAGAGTATAACACACGTCGTCGTACATACAATCAATTCTCTTCACTGATAGGCTCGTCAATAAAATCAACCAATCACGAAAGGAGACAATGCATGACGTCACAGACAAGTCAACCAATCACGAAGGAGCATGACGTGTTCAGACAGTTTGGAGTCAACCCATCAGAAGGGCCATCATCCTACAGGTCTGACATCATCCTACAGGTCTGCCATCATCCTACAGGGAGGTCTGCATCAGAGGTCTGCATGAGTCATCCTGTCTGAGGTCTGCCATCATCCTACAGGTCTGCCATCATCCTACAGGTCTGCCCATCAGGTCTGCCATCAAAGGTCTGCCATCATCCTACAGGTCTCTGGTCTGCCATCATCCTACAGGTCTGCCATCATACAGGTCTGCCATCAGGTCTGCCATCATCCTACAGGTCTGCCATCATCCTACAGGTCTGCCATCATCCCAAAGGTCTGCCATCATCCTACAGGTCTGCCATCATCCTACAGGTCTGCCATCATCCTACAGGTCTGCCATCATCCTACAGGTCTGCCATCATCCTACAGGTCTGCCATCATCCTACAGGTCTGCCATCATCCTCTGCTGACGTCAACGGAATCGGATTTTTGTTCGTAAGCGACTATTTTCCGGTGCGTCTGACTCACTCTGACCTAAATGTTCCCCTGGAGAATATCTTAACTCTCTCTCTCTCTCTCTCTCTCTCTCTCTCTCTCTCTCTCTCTCTCTGTCTCTCTCTCTCTCTCACGAACTTCGGTAATAACAGGACCGTAGAGCTAGTTCTTCCAGTAATGCCGCCATGAATAAATTAGAGGAGAGCAAATCTTGATAAATTTGGAGATAAAGGAATACTAGTTAATGAAGTAAAGATTAAATAATGAGTGATAACCTTCCCTTTAACCCTCATCCATCACCCACCTCATCCACTTTCATGTTCATCCATCTCTCACTCCACAATCACCCACATCATTCACTTCACCTCTAACTCATCCACCACCCTCCCCCTCACCCTCCCCATCCACCTCAACCCTCCCCCCTCATCTCATCCACCCCCCCCTCACCCTCTTCATCCACCCCCCCCTCCCCCCCCTCCCCCTCTGGCGCCAACCTATCCGGTCAACCTTCACTTATCAGTAAGGGTTCCGGGGAGGGGAGGGGAGGGGAGAGGGAGGAGAAGGGGTGGTAGAAAGGAGGAGGGGGGGTTAGGGTTGGGGAGAGGGAAGGGAGAGGAAGGGGGAAAAGGGGAAGGGGGAAGAAGAAGGAGGAGGGGGAGGGAAGGTTCAAGTTGGGTTAAATGATTCGGATTTATTTATGGTTCTAGATTATGGACAAATCCTTCCCTCCCTCCTTCCCTCCCTCCTTCCCTCCCTCCTTCCCTCCCTCCTTCCCTCCTTCCCTCTCTCCCCTCTCTCTATCCCCTTTCCTCTGCCTCTCTCTCACTCCCTCTCTCCCCACTTCCCTCTCCAAGATAGACTTTTATTTAATGAGAAGTGATTTTTATTTAGTTGCTATGGTGATTCCTGTGGCGCCCTGGCCGAGTGTATGGGTTAGGTTAGGTTAGGTTGGGTTAGGTTAGGTCAGGTTAGATTAGGTTAGGATAGGTTATGGTAGGTTAGATTAGGTTGGGTTAGGTTAGGTCAGGTTAGATTAGGTTGCGTTAGGTTAGGTCAGGTTAGGTTACAGCGAGGGAATTACCTGAACATTGTCTTATAGTCAATGGACAAAATCTAACTGGACAAAATTCTCTCTGGACACAATCCCCAGTGACCGACATGCCGAGGTAGATGTGGACAGTAATCCGTCAGCCACTGTGGGGAGCCTGCTGTAAGGGGGGGGGCTGCCTATTTTACCCCCCCCCCCTTCCTCTGGTGGTAAGTTTCTTCTACCTTACCTTCCTCCTCTTCTTTGTCAGGTAGGTAGGTGGGTGGGTAGGTAGGTAGGTAGGGAGGTAGGGAGGTAGGTAGGTAGGTAGGTAGGTAGGTAGGTAGGTAGGTAGGTAGGTAGGTAGGTAGGTAGGTAGGTGGGTAGGGAGGTAGGTAGGTAGGGGAGGGAGGGGAGGGAGGTAGGGGAGGTAGGTAGGGGAGGGAGGGAGGTAGGTAGAAGGCATCTCTCACTCCTCTCCCTTCTTCCTCCCTCCCTTCCTGTCCTCCTACCACCTCCCTCCCCTCCCCTCACCCCCAACTACCCACAATCCTCTTACTTATGGTGTGTTCGAGTCTTACCTGTGTGATTAAGTCTTACTAATGAGGCCGAGAGTCTTACCTGTGTGATTAAGTCTTACTAATGAGGCCGAGAGTCTTACCTGTGTGATTAAGTCTTACTAATGAGGCCAAGAGTCTTACCTGTGTGATTAAGTCTTACTAATGAGGCCGAGAGTCTTACCTGTGTGATTAAGTCTTACTAATGAGGCCAAGAGTCTTACCTGTGTGATTAAGTCTTACTAATGAGGCCAAGAGTCTTACCTGTGAGGTCTAGAGACTTGAGTTTGCGCAGCTTGCCGAGGGCGTCTCTAGGCAGGCGGGTGAGGTCGTTGTACTGCAGGTCAAGCTCTGCCAGTGACCGCTCTAACCCGTAGAAGGCCTTCTCGGGGACGTCCAGTAGCTCGTTGTGGCGTACCTCTAGCCTCCACATACCTGAAGGAGAGGTGCTGGCTTAGTGCTGGCGTAATGACGGGTTAGTGGTGGCTTGATATTGGCTTATGGTGTCTTAGTTAGAGTGGCTTAGTGAGGGGTTAGTGGTGGCTTAGTGGTGGTTTAATATTGGCTTATGGTGGCTTAGTGAGAGGTTAATAGTGGCTTAGTGAGGGGTTAGTGGTGGCTTAAAATTGGCTTAATATTGACTTATGGTGAAACTGAGTGAGGAGGTTAGAGTGGCTTAGTGAGGGGTTAGTGGTGGCTTAGTGGTGGTTTAATATTGGCTTATGGTGGCTTAGTGAGAGGTTAATAGTGGCTTAGTGAGGGGTTAGTGGTGGCTTAAAATTGGCTTATGGTAGTGGCTTAGTGGCTTAACGCTCACTTGTCCCTCTTATACTACAGGCGCATTTTTCCCTCGTCTCTCGCTTCTCACTTTCCTCACTCTCTTTACTCTCACTTTCTCTCCTCACTCTCTCCTCTCACTTTCTCTCTCCTCTCTCCTCCTACTTTCTCTCCCTCCTCCTCCTCCCTTTCTCTTCTCCTCTCTCTCCTCCTCTCTCTCCCTCCACCCTCTCTCCTCACTTTTTTCTCCTCACTTTCTCTCCTCTCCTCTCTCTCCTCACCCTCTCTCCTCCTTTTTTCTCCTCTTTCTCTCCTCTCCTCTCTCTCCTCCCCTCCTCTCTCCTCACCCTCTCTCCTCACGCCCCTACTCCTCCTTTCTCTCCCCTCCTCTCTCTCCTCTCTCTCCTCTTTCTCTCCTCCTCTCTCTCCTCCTCTCTCTCCTCCTCTCTCTCCTCCTTTCTCTCTCTTCTTCCGTGCTCATTTTGCTCCTTGCTTCATTTGGAGGCAGCTTGTCCTCCTCCTCGCTTCTTGCCTTTCTGCCTTTCCTCCCCTCACCAGTCTCTCTCTCTCTCTCTCTCTCTCTCTCTCTCTCTCTCTCTCTCTCTCTCTCTCTCTCTCTCCTCTCCCTCTCACCTCCCCCTCTCCCCTCTCCTTGCTCTTCACTCTCCCATACTTCCTTGTCAAGCTCTCTTCCATTCTCCCTCTTCCGGTCAGTCTCACCCTCCTCTTACCCTTCCTTCCTTCCTTCCTTCCTGTCATTATTCCCCTCCTTCCCTCTCTTTCTTCTTCCATAATTCACGTTTTTTATAGTTTTCTTTGTGTGTGTGTGTGTGTGTCTGTCTGTCTGTCTGTTAATATGTCTGTCTGTCTATTTGTCTGTCTGTCTATTTGTCTGTCTGTCCGTCTGTCTATCTGTCTGTCTCTCTCTCATTCTCTTCGTCTATCTCCCTCCCTCAATCCCTCTCATACTCCCTCACTCACTCTTCCTTCACACATTCTCTCTCTTTCCATCATTTACTCCCACTCTCCCTCCTCCTCTCCTCCTCCCACTCTCCCTCCTCCTCTCCTCCTCCCTCACCCTCCTCCTCTCCCCTTTCTTCTCTCTCCTCCTCCTCACCCCTCCTCCTCTCCCTTTCTTCCCTCCTCCCCTCACCCTCCTCCCCTCCCCTTTCTTCCCTCTCCTCCTCCCCTCACCCTCCTCCTCTCCCTTTTCTCCTCCTCCCCCTCTCCCTCCCCTCCTCTCCCTTTTCTTCCTCTCCTCCTCCCTCACCCCTCCTCCCTCTCCTTCTTCCCTCTCCTCCTCCCTCACCCCTCCTCTCCCCTTTCTCTCCTCCTCCCACTCTCCCTCCTCCTCTTCCTTTTCTTCCTCTCCTCCTCCCACTCTCCCTCCTCCTCTCCCTTTGCTTCCCTCTCCTCCTCCCTCTCCCTCCTCCTCTCCCTTTCTTCCTCTCCTTCTCCCTCCCTCCTCCCCTCTCCCCTTTCTTCCTCTCCTCCTCCCCTCCCCCTCCTCCTCTCCGCCTGCTTCCTCTCCTCCTCCTCTCCCCTCTTCCTCTCCCCTTTCTTCCCTCTCACTCCTCCCTCTCCCTCCTCCTCTCCTTTCTTCCCTCTCCTCCTCCCCTCTCCCTCCTCCTCTCCCTTTTCTTCCTCTCCCTCCCCTCACCCCTCCTCCTCTCCCTTTTCTTCCTCTCCTCCTCCCACTCACCCTCCTCCTCTCCCCTTTCTCCCTCTCCTCCCACTCTCCCTTACTAAGTCTCCCTTCCACTCATCCGAAAAACGCTTTCATTCTCCTCTTAAAGTCTTTTGTAACGTTGCTGACGCGTGCAGGATAATGTACCCCATGCGTCAGTGCGTTCATGCGTTAGTGCGTCCATGCGTCAGTTCGTCCATGCGTCAGTGTGTTCATGTTTAAGTGCAGCCATACGTTAATGCGTCCATGCGTCAGGGCGTTCATGTTTCAGTGCGTCGATGTGTTAATGATGCAGCAGTAAGTCTATGCATTAAAGGACCAATGCGTCTATGCGTCAGTAGATCGATGAAGCGATGCGTCGGTGGCTACATGTGCGTTCATCTACCTTCCTTCCTTCCTTCTCTCTCTCTCTCTCTCTCTCTCTCTCTCTCTCTCTCTCTCTCTCTCTCTCTCTCTTGCTCACCAACACAAATCTTTTCATCACACACACACACACACACACACACACACACACACACACACACACACACACACACACACACACACACACTTAAAAATCATCTAAATATATGAAGAAAAAAAAACACAAAAACACAGAAAAAACAAACTCACAAACACAAACTCTTCCCCAACACACTCTAGAAAAAAAAAGAGAGAGTTTCAACACACTTTAATTATGATTTAAATTTTAAGCCAAGTAGGTTCTGAGTTAAACATATTCGACTCACAAGCACACGAGGGGAGCAAATATATTTTACATAATCCGGTTTTATTAGCATTAAAAACATTTTCTCTCTTATGTGAACCGGACCTTGGGTATTATGGCTACTTCAATGTGGATATATATTTTGATTATATTTTTGCCCGGGGTTGAGTAATGGTTGGTTGACGTGGTTGTGGTTGGTGACGTGGTTGTGGTTGGTGATGTGGTTGTGGTTGGTGACGTGGTTGTTGTGGTTGGTGATGTGGTTGTTGTGGTTGGTGACGTGGTTGTTGTGGTTGATGACGTGGTTGTTGTAGTTGTTGACGTGGTTGTGGTTGGTGACATTAGTTTGTTGTGTGGTTGGTGACGTGGTTGTTGTGGTTGGTGACGTGGTTGTTGTTGTGGTTGGTGGTTGTTGTGGTTGGTGACGTGGTTGTTGTGGATTGGTGATGTGGTTGTTGTGGTTGGTGACGTGGTTGTTGTGGTTGGTGACGTGGTTGTGGTTGTTGACGTGGTTGTGGTTGGTGACGTGGTTGTGGTGGTTGTGACGTGGTTGTTTGTGGTTGGTGACGTGGTTGTTGGTTGGTGACGTGGTTGTTGTGCTGTTGACGTGGTTGTTGTGGTTGGTGACGTGGTTGTTTATTGGTTGGTGACGTGGTTTGTGGTTGGTGACGTCAGATTTGTTGTGGTTGGTTGACGTGGTTGTGGTTGGTGACGTGGTTGTGGTTGGTGATGTGGTTGTGGTTGGTGACGTGGTTGTTGTGGTTGGTGATGTGGTTGTTGTGGTTGGTGACGTGGTTGTTGTGGTTGATGACGTGGTTGTTGTAGTTGGTCACACAGGTCAGGAGTCACAGGTCAGAGGTCATACAGGTCACACAGATCAGGAGTCATAGTTCACACAGGTCAGGGGTCACACAAGTCAGGAGTCACAGGTCAGGGGTCACACAGGTCAGGAGTCACAGGTCAGGGGTCACACAGGTAGGAGTCACAGGTCAGGGGTCACACAGGTCAGGAGTCACAGGTCAGGGGTCACACAGGTCACAGTCTCATTTTAGTCTGGTCTTTCGCTGAACAAAAATTAGAGGCTGGTGGAGTAGTGATGGTCCCTGGGTAGTTGGGTCGTTAAGAAGGACCTGGCAAGTCGTTATTGGTTGTGAGGGAAAAGTTAAACGACCTGCCACTCTTGACGACCACTCTAACGGGGGGAGGAGGGGGGCGTTTACAGTCTGTTTGTCTGTCTGTCTTTATGTCTGTCTGTCTATTTGCGTGTGTGTGTGTGTGTGTGTGTGTGTTGAAAATGAAGAGACGTAAAGATAGACAGACAGACACACAGACAGAGGTATGTATGTATGTATGTATGTATGTATGTAAGCACGCCAACACTATCATATATACGAACGAACGCACACGCACACACACACACACACACACACACACACTATTTTACACATGACTCGAGGCCAAAATATACAGGTTGACTCTAATTAAGGAATCTGCTTTATCAAAGACCAGGTAATTGCCCACCTATACCCGGTCTATTTCGCGCTCTCAACATTCATACACCCGGGTTATTATAAAGTCTATTTTGACGTTACCAAGTGAGAGAGAGAGAGAGAGAGAGAGAGAGAGAGAGAGAGAGAGAGAGAGGGGGGTCACTATCACGCGAAAATTAAACATATCTCGTCAAATGTAGGTTGACGCCGCGAAAGTTAGATACAGTTATAAAAAAAATAAAACAATCTGACAGCTACAGTAATTCTATTTCGCGAATGATAGATCTATTTAGTGTATGAGATCTATTTCGCGTAAGATAAATCTATTTCGCGAAAGGTAGATCTATTTCGCGAGAGAGATCTATTTCGCGTAAGATAAATCTATTTCGCGAAAGGTAGATGTATTTCTCAAAAGGTAGATCTATTTCGCGTAAGATAGATCTATTTCACGAGAGGTAGATCTATTTCACGAGAGGTAGATCTATTTCTCGAGGGACAGCAGCAGGCAGAGGACCCCGGAGCCTTTGTGTTAGCGGGTGAGCAGACTCTCGCCTCCTTCGTCCACAGTCGCTCATTTGACCAATGTTTACGCTAGCGTGCAGTGTCAACACCAGCCGCTAGATGGCGTTGATCCACCCAGCGTTATACACTTTAAGTACGAGTTTCTCTTCCGACTATCTCACTCTGTTGTAAATATAATGAATACTTCACTAATATTATGACATAAGGTATTGTTATTAAGTTTGTTGATTACAGGTGAAACTACACATGGCCTTGTTTCAGTCTCCCCTACACACACAGGTGAGGCGAGTCTTACCTGAACGTAGGATAAAACATCACAGGAGTAAGTAATATGCCCCCCGCCTCCTCTCTTAACATATTGCTATATTAACATGGGGGAGGGGGGGAGTGAGGGGGTGAGGGGGGGAAGGGGTGGAATGAGGAGGGGTGAAGGGTAGGGGAAGGGGTAAGGTGGAAGGGAGAGGGTGTAACGGGAGGGGGGAAGGGTGGGATAGGGGTAAAGGAGATATATGGGAAAGGGGAAAAGTGAGGGGAAGGTGTATGAGTTAAGTGCTCACGATCAAAGGGAAGGGGAAGGGTGGGAAGGAAAGAAAGGGGAGGGGAGGGAAGAAATGGGAGGAAGGGAGGCGAAGGGAGAGCGGGGACAAGATGCTCTCTCTCTCTCTCTCTCTCTCTCTCTCTCTCTACCCTACCCTACCCACACCACCCCCACCCCCAAAATGAAGCCCCTCTCCCGGCATTTGAAGCATCAATAGAGAAATTATAGGCATAGTATTTGTAGGAGGAGGGGGAGGAGGTGTATAATTAGTCCCAATAATGATGGTGATTATAGAGAAGGAGTTTGAAGGCATGGTTTGGGTCTGTGGTGTTTTAAAAAAAGATTTATTGATAATTAACAGGGAGATAAATGTGTATTGGAGGAGAGGGCGAGGTGAGGTGGAAGGAGAGGAGGAGGAGGAGGAGGAGGAGGAAGAGAAGAATAGAGGGAGAAAGAAAAAGAGGAGGTAGGAAGGAATAAGAAGAAGAACAAGAAAACAAAATAAATAGGCAAAGAAAAAGTAAGACTCTTCTCGTTTTCTTTACATTTTCTGTCTTTATCCACTTTACTTCAGTCTACCCACAGTCACCCCCGTTTTCCTTGCTGTGGGTAACTCATACAATGGTCGGCTCTAACGTGAAAAATGTATCGAAAAATAATTGTCTGGTAAAAAATTTGTCTGTACCTGTGAATTTGTTGCACATGGACAAGCGGCCCACTTTATGCTGTAATGGAGTTGAGGGTTAATATTTTTTGGCTATGTATGTATGTATGTAAGTATGTATGTTTAAATATATATGTATAAAAGTGTCTCTGATGTGTACAAATATCCACACACACACACACACACGCACACACACACACACACACACTAATGCACCTCTGAGGAAAGTTAACACAGATGTCTGCCTCTCACACACCTGTCATCACCTGTTTGTGACTGTGTGTATGACTGTTGACTGGGTGATGACTGCAACACAAACTTAACACACCGGGGCGGGGCTGGGGTGAGGTGGGGCGGGCTGGGGTGGGGTGGGTGGGGTGGGGTGGGGCGGTGGGTGGTGGGGTGGGGTGGGTGTGTGGTGGGTGGGGCTGGGCGGGCGGGCGGGCGGGCGGGGCCTAAACAGTGGACTGTAACACAGACTTAACACACCAGAAACTGAGCCGCAGTGCACCATCAATTGTCTCTGAGGAGACAGACCCTTGTTCCTGTCTGTCTGTCTGTCTGTCTTTTCTGTCTGTCTGTCTGTCTGTCTGTCTGTCTGTCTCCGTCTGTCTGTCTGTCTGTTCCCTGTCTGTCTGTCTGTCTGTCTGTCTGTCTGTCTGTCTCTGGGTTCGTCTGTCTGTCTGCTCCGTTCAAGTCTATCTACCCGTCTGTCTATGTTCGTCTATCTATCTATCTATCCCCACTACCAGCTTAAGGATAGTGAATGTGTGTGTGTGTGTGTGTGTGTGTGTGTGTGTGTGTCGCAGGTGATATAGTGAACGTTATGGGTTAATTGCAGGTATTCATCAGGTGAAACACACTCACCCTTGTTCTGTCCAGATCACACACACACACACACACACACACACACATATACATATTAGCGAGCACACATACATACACACACACACACACACACACACACACACGTCTTCCATTACCCCTCTGTAAAACGGAACCAAATGATTTATTCCCCGCACTGAGACGAGGCAGGTATATAGACACGTCTGTTTGTATGTGTCTGTGTGTCTGTCTGTATGTGTGTATGTCTGTATGTAGGTGTTTTTTTTATGTATATGTGTACCTGTGTCTGTGCGTCTGTCTTTATGTACGTCTGTATCTGTGTGTGCGTTTATGTCTGTATGTTTATGTGTCTTTTTGTACGTTTGTCTGTCTGTATTTACGTGTGTGTGTGTGTGTGTGTGTGTGTGTGTGTGTGTGTGTGTGTGTGTGTGTGTGTGTGTGTGTGTGTGTGTGTGTGTGTGTGTGAGGATATGCGTATGTGGGTGATTTATCTTAGATGTTTTATGAAGGCTGTTACGAGCTGAGAGGAATATAGGGGTGAGAGAGGGGGGGAAGGAAGGGGAGGGAGGGAAGGAGGGGGGAGGGAGGGAAGGAGGGGGGGGAGGAGGGAAGGAGGGGAGAGAGGATGGAGAGAGGAAGAGAGACAGTGGAAGAGGGGATGAATGAGGAATAGAGGAGAGAGAGAGAGAGAGAGGGGAGGAAGAGGTGAATAATAATAAATAAATAAACGTAAAATTAATAATTATGGATTATAATTATCATGCATTAGCCACCTGACAACATACAAGACTCATCGTACATCTGGCTACCCGACCAAAACAAAAACAAAAGAGGGGTGAGGGTGAGGTGGGGGTGAGGGGGGGAGAGGGGACTAATCTCACGTGATTGAGCCTCCGACTGAAGACTCTTTGAAAACTTGCCTTTAACTGTTTAAATGTTTGTCTCAGT